GAGAGCTGGATGATGAGGGAAGAGAGAGCTGTGAGGCAAAGCTGAGCCCACTGTGGACTGTCCAGGGGAGTGTAAAACCACATCTGGGCTCAGAGGAAGGCATGGGGGTGGGGCTCTATGAAGTAGACGAGGGGTAGAGTACACAGAAATGGCACCTACTCAGGAGACTACCAGCCCCCGGCTTAAAACACACTCCAGATTAAAGGGCTGGGTGGAAGATGAAGTCTGAGCTTCCTGAAGTATGTGCATGCACGAGTGTGTGTGTGTGTGTGTGCGTGTGTGTGTGTGCAAGAGAGAGACAGACAGACAGAGATAGACAGACAGACAGACAGACAGAGAAAAACAGACAGACAGAGTAGCGTGAGTAGTGGGTGAGCACCTTTCCTGTCCATCCCAGGGAGGTAAGAAAAGGGGTAAGAAGATGGACTTGAAATCCATTCCGCACTTGAGAGGTGGTTGCAAGATCAAAAGTTCAAGGCCAATCTGAGCTACACAGGGAGATCTACCAGAAAGAGAGGAGAGGGAGAAAGAAAGACTAAAGAGAAAAGAAAAGCAGCCCCAGGTCCCCAGCGCTACTGAAACAGAAGAGGAGGAGCCTGGAGGGACCAAGGGGCGGCAGTCGAGCTGCTTAGACTGATGACCTGGGCTTGATCCTGGAACCCGTGGAAAGGAGAAAGTTGACTCTGCAGAGTTACCCTCTGCCCTCTACACACACCGTGACATGTGCATGTCTCCATCATACATACATGTGCACAATTGTAATAAATTAAACAAATACAATTAATTTTTATAAAGAGGCTACGGTGAGGGGCAGAAGCAAGGGAGGAGGAGGGAGGAGGGGAGGAGGGAGAAGGCGGAAGGGGGAAGGGGAAAGGGAGGAGGGAAGGAGGGGGGAAGGAAGGAGGGAAGGAGAAGAGGAGGGAGGAGGCAGAAGGGAGGGAGGGGGGAGGTGAGAGGAGGGGAGGAGGGGAGGTGGGAGGAGGGAGGAGGGGGAGGGGGAGGGAGGAGGGGAGGAGGGCAGCAGGAGAGAGAGGAGGAGGGGAAGGGGAAGAGGGGGAAGGGAGGATGGAGGAGGGAGGAGGGAGGAGGGGATGGAGAAGGATGGAGAAAAAGGTCAGGAACTTGGGGTGTGGTGAAGCTTTTAGCCAGGGCACCTCAGTGTGGGAAGCAGCAGGCAGGAGCAGGAGGCAGGGTCCTTAGGGGAGACTCAGAGCGTGCGTTGTGTGTGTGGTATATGTGTATTATGAGTTTGTGTGTGCATGTGCACATGTGTGTGCATGCACATGGGTTGGGTGATGATGTCGAGCATCTTCATCAATCACTCTTCACCTTATTATTTCTTTTTAAATTTTATTTGTTTATTTGTCTGGGCATATACATGGAGGTCAGAGGACAACTCTCAAGAGTCATTTCTCTCTTCCTGCCATTTTTTTTTTTTTTTTAGAAAAAGTCTTTGTTTTCCTGGGAGCTCCCTGATTGGATAGACTAGCTGGTCAGCAAGCCCCGGGAGTGTTCCCAAGTCACTGTCTCCCCAGCAACCAGAGGGATTACAGGCACAGACGCTGTGGATTACTGCCACAGAGGCGCTGGGGATCCAAACTCAGACTCTTAGCTCAGGCCTCCCTGGAGCCCCCTGATGGTCACATCCAAGACCCGGGTCATTGTCACCATGTGGAGTCTATCATCTGCATGAGAGTTCACTCAGTCCTGGAGGAACACAATGACAAGTGTCTGCCATCAGTGTCATACAGGGTGTTCACAACACACGAGGATTTTTAAGGACAAAGAATTCAATATGTCCCTAGATCAGGTGAGAATGTCTAGTGGAAAGGAAGATGGAGCAAATGGCTGTGAATGTCAACCCAGCCCTCAGTGTGGGTCCAACAGCCTGGGACAGGGTCCCTGTCACAGAGAGCTTCTGATGGCTTTAAATCTCAGCTCTGCAAGTTCTCACCTCCCTCTCTGAGCCTTCTTGTCCCAATGCGTGAAGTCAACGAGCTTCACTAAAACCTGCCTCGACTGATTAACTCAGGCTAGAAGACAAGTAAGAGATGAGATCCACGGTGCCGGATGCCAGCTCAGCAGCTGAGTAGGTGGGAGCGCCCTGAACCTCCTCACCTTCTTCTGTCCCTAAGGATGATGCTCTCAGCAACCAAGAACATAGGTAGCTTGTGAGCAAGCGCCTTTATCATCCCTTGCTTGTACCAAAGGGGTTGAGTTTGGACCACATAAAGTACACCTGCACATCTCTCAACAGCAAGGATGTTTGTGATAAATGCATCGTCAGGGGATTTCATCATGGGTAAACATCAGGGGCTATTTGCACAGAGTTAGAAGGCTGAGTCATGGGAGATATAATCTGAGGGAACCACTGGAATATATGTGGCCCACTGTTGATAGAAACATCGTATGTAGCATGTGGCTGCGTCAGGCACCATGCTCATGTTGGAAGAATGATGCCAGAAATACTGAAAATATATAAAATAATGATAATGGGACAAACAAGCAGACAGTCACCTTCTTAAAATCCTCGGCGACAACTCCCAGACTCATCCCCGTCCATACCCAGTTATTAGTGGTGTTTCTCCAGGGATGAGTTTCCTAAGAGTGCTCGGGTCCCCAGCATGTGCTCCTTATGATGGTGACTGCAGAGTCATGGGTGTTCCAGGAGGCTGTTTGCTCAGAGCCGTGGGTGGAGAGGAGAGTGTCTCACAGTGAGAAAGCAATCCCCAAACAAACAGGCAAAGGCTGAACAGGCAGCTCTCCGAGGAGTCTACACAGGTGACCGGTGACGGCACAAAAGAATGCCCAACACCAACACCACTGCGTTACAGAGATGTGAACTAAAGCATAAGGACAGACAGACACACACACACACACACACACAAAGAGAGAGCAAGTGTTACCATGAGGAAGAAGAAGAAGACCCAGAAGATAATGTGTTGGAACCGATGTGGAGAAGTTGGACTGATGGTTATAACGGCAGGGGTATAAAATGACACAGTCACCATGGGGAGCAGGGTGGCACTTCTAAAAAGCTACATATAGAAGGACCATATCATATAGCCGTTCCTCCTCTAGGCACGTGCCCCAGAGCAGAACTTACCTGCCCACAGTCAGTCACAGCAGCATTAATCTGAACAGCCAGAAGTGGGGGCAATCCAAGCTCTGGACAAACCAACAGAATGTGGTGCATATTAAAATGTGTATGAAGATGTTTCAGTTCTAAGAAGAAAATGAATACGGAAATTTTGCTGAAAGAAACCAATCTCAAAAAATACTGTGTACTTTCACTTTTAGGAAGTAAAGCTAATATATATATATATATATTATAATATAATATATATAATATGTAACATATAATATATATATAATATATATATATATATATATATATATATATTAGCTAAATTCACAGAGACAGGGTATAACAAGGTGATTGCCATGGAGCAGGGTGGGGGACAGGAGTTGATAATGGGTTGAGTTTCAGTTTGGGGAGCAGCACAAAATTATGGTATACTCAACACCACAAACTGTACGTTTAAAAATGGTTGAGGCAAGCTGGGTGCGGTGATTCACGCCTATTATCCCAGCACTCAGGATGCTGAGGCAGAAGGATTGCTACTTCAGGGCTAGCCTAGGTTAGGCTACATAATGACATCGTGCCTCAGACAAAACAAAAGACAAGAGACCGGCTGGCAAGATGGCTCAGCAGGTCAAAGGGGCTTGCTGTACAAGCCCTGAGACCTGAGCCTGAGTTCGATCTCTGCAACCCACGCAAAGGTGAACGAAACGCCACAAAATCATCCTAGGCTGCCAGCCCCACCCCCAGCAACATTAACTAAAGTAAAATCTCAAGAACTAAAATAATAATGATAATAGTAATAATAATAATAAACCTGGTAAGTTTCATATATATTTTATCTTGAGGAAAATAATAAACTGTACGTTACATATATTTTAATACGCTAAGTAACCCCCAGGTAAAGTTATGATCCAGAGAGTTGAGGTCCATCACTGTAATAGTAAAATGATATTCCACAAAATCAAAACTAGTCCTTTCTCAAATTATTAATTAAAAACCAAGACCACAGAACATCATTCTAAGCATTCTGGCCCCTGCTTCGACAGGGACATGGACAACTATAGAAGCCATCCCTCTGCCCTGGCCAGCTCTGGTTTCCCCTCACCCATCAGACATGGCCCAAGCTTTTGAGGAAGGCTAAGTTTTCTCAGGTGACAGGAATATGGCTCATCTATCTGCACCTATAATTTTGTCTGTCATACTTTTTCACGTTTTTTTTCTGATGCCGCCTGATGATTTTTATAGTGAAGAAAACATTCCTAGGATTCTCCATTTTTAAGACCCTATCCTCCAAGCGTCCTTGCAATGTTTCTCAAGTGGGTCTGGGAGTGATCAGTGATGCCATCTTTCCCGGGTGAGTCATGCTGGTAGCCTCACAAGGACGGGCTGGACTCATGGTCCAGAATAAAAGGCCCGTCAAATCTCTGCAAGGGGTCCCCACAGAGACAAGCTGGAACGATCTTCAGTCCCTACCCCAGGAGACTAACACCTCTACACAAGGAGCACGGGGCACCCCAAACCCGAAACCATCTTAGTTCCCTGTAAGCCAGGCATCTGGCTTCAATGCATAGTTTCTTTCCGCAAGGGCTCCTTCGGGTGCCCAAGGCACACTACCTGATACTGGCTGTTGATTGATCCCAACAGATAGATTAGGTCTCAAGCATTATTTCAGTATTTCCTCCATCCCCACCACCCCAACCCGTTTACCACATGGCTGTTGTGCGTAACTGCCTGGACTTCCTTCCCTAAGGCAGTTACAGGCCCAAGGGTCCTTTGGAAACACTGTACTGTTATTCCAAGTCAGGGAGACAAAAAAGAAAAAAAAAGAAAGAAAAAAGAAACTAAGTAGTAGGTCCTGAGAGAGCTGCATTCACATAACTAAAAATCAAACAAGTGTGTAAAGACCCAGGAAAAATTAGATTCATTAAAATTTTTATTTTGAATAGCTTCAATCAAAAAGATTTCATAAGGTTATTTACAATGCTGAATGTATAATTATGAATATCTACCTTTTCGACAACAGGGTACCATTCTTGAGCAGCAATACAATTTTAAAAATATAAAGATGTGGTATCATTTCTGATATATAAAGTTACTTAAAAAATCCACGGTCTTAGGGAATTCACAAATCATAACAGGAAGTAACTTTTATTAATTTCATGTGCACATAATTACCAAATTGTAATACATTAAAAATACGTGTAAATGCCCAGACTGTACAAAAGTTAATCCCCTATCTTGTTAAAAGTTCCCAGTAACCTCCCACCATAAATATACAAAACCCTTTTCTTCGACACATCAAAACTGCATGCATGAAATTAGATGTGCTCTAAAGCCTGAAGTTGCCCCTCACTGCATATGAGCTTCTGCTGCTTCTGGAACAGGTTTTAAATGTATGTATTATGTATGGTATGTATGTATGTATGTATGTATATATGTGTGTGTGTGTGTGTGTGTGTATACATACAGACATATGACAGATCATTCATTCATCATGCCTTTGAAACTGTGCAGTACTTTCATCAGCATGGGAAACAAAATACATAGTGTAAAATGACGGGTTTACTGAAATGCGAGTGCAGTCTGGAAGCTCTTGAGCGAGCGCCAGGCTCTAAACCGATAACGTACCACCGGTCTGTGGTGGTCTCGCCGCTCTCACCCCAGCACTATCTGAGCACTGCTTTACAGCAGGTGGTGCTAGAAGACAGAAAACAGTTACCACTATTGGTTTGTATTTGAGGAGGAAAATGACTTTAAACAACCCTGAGGGAGACCCACATTAAAAAATCTTATTTATTTAAAAAGTTAAAAAGTTACATATCATTATTTAACAATTACTTTCCCGGACATTTCTGTCCTTTAAGTATGTGCATAAATAAAATTTAAATCAGCAATATTATCAATCTTAATACATCAAAATAATATATGTACAGATTTTAAAATCTAGGTCTGTATATACTCAAATAATTTAATGTAAAATTCAGAACCCAAATCTCTATATAACAGTGACCTACAGAAGACTGCACTAAGCTGGACCCATGTCTGGACTCACAGACATTCCTCACAACATCCTCACTGGAATAACCTACCCTGTCTATGTTCAAATCTAACTTCCTACAAATGCTTTCTCTCACCTACATAAAACCTTGTTCCTTTGCAAACAATATGGAGAGATGAGATATAAACCTTATCAACTCTAAATATTGAAAGGGATATGTGTCAAAAATAGCCTTTTATGATCATTCTCTTGAGGATGTTAAATACAATTAATATTGGGTTTCTAAACTGCAGTTAGCAATTATATGCTTCAGCATTTAAACCAAAGAGTAAGGCTTAACGACCCATAAAAATCACTAAAGAATAATATGAGCATTATTTGAAATGAACATGGACAGTATAAAACAACAGAGAATAAGTAACTATAGAAAATAGTGCTAATTCACAGCTCAAGAGGTCTAAGATGCATAGCTTCATAGAATCATTCATGGGACAATTGTTCTTGTCATCTAACATATAATAACATCATACAGTTTGTTGGAAAATTTTGATTATGTATTTTGTAAGAATCACCAGTGGCAATAGCAGTAACAGTGATCCTGAGAATAATTTACATTTTTTTTCTACAATTATCAAACATCATTCAGGTCTCTGCAACACAAAAAATAAGAAAAAAAAAAATGGTTCCACAAATCTGGGTAACATGTGGTAAACTGGTAAGTATGTACTGGGACAGTAATGATCAACTGGGAATGGAAAGCATACACACGCGGTTAGTTAAGAACCAACATAGAATAACATCACATTGTCTCACTAATTTAGGGTCCATCTTTATAGCAATGCCAGCTTCCCAAGCTTATCATAACTGTGGGCACTGCCAAACTGCCAGGTCCTACATAGGAAGGCATTGTGGATATTCCTTGAGAAATGAACATTAATCAGACAAAACACCAGTGTGAAAAATGCTTTCTACATTTCTTTTGGCTCAATAAATGTGTATACTTTATTTTCTCAAGCTCACTTGTAACAAAACAGGTATGTGCTGACCTCTGGTGCCACCTAATGGCATAAAACAAGCTCTACTCAAGTTCACACTGCTTTGTAAAAGTCAAACTCAATATTCATTATTCTTTTAATCCTTATTATCCAAAGGAGAGACATATACCAAGGCTAAGCTCTAACTCAAAAACAAAACAGTATTATCCAATTCCTTTAAGTTAGAAAACAAACAGATAATGAAAAAGCATGCAGAATGATAAAAACCCTGAAAGAAAAACAACAGGTATGAAGAGCACGAGGTCACCCAAGGAAGTGACCGCTGCTCTGCATGCACGGATTCTGAGACGGGACTTGACTATCTCCTCGAGGCTATCCTTGGACTAAGAACAATCCCCTCCCTCAGCCTCCTGTGCAGGAGTACAGGCCTGCACCACCATGCCTGGCTCAGAAAGAAACTTTACTAGAAAAGTTCTTCATTGATGAGGCAAACTGGACTGCCGACGTCAGACACAGTATGAGACAGACCCACAAAGGTTACGAGGACACGAGACAGCGGTGAAGCACCTTGCTGGCTAGAAAGTGACACCCAGGCAGTCTACACAGAGACTATAGAACCAGAAGTGGAAATTACCTGAGCTGCTCACAAACACTAACACAACAGTAACACAAACCACTCCAACCCCAGGTCAAAGGAAACTGGTGGATGTTTAACACAGAACTCTTTGGGAGAAACATTGGAATCAAAATAGATTTTCAACCTATTTTCACCAAAGGCTAATTACAATTAACAATCATATTATTTTTAACAATCCCAATATTAGGGCCTACATATAGAAGAAACTTGCTAATAAGGGGGTTTGTGAAAATTAAATTTAAGAGGCAAACTAGTGTCAAAAGCTGAAATCTAAAAACCCCAACACAGTTCTCTCACACCCAATATAAAGTGTATATCACATTACGTTACTGCATGAAGATCTAGCCAGACTGATAGTTAATAACTGTGAGGCAAATGCCATTTTACTGCTTTTGTTTTTTAATCAACTACTGTATTATGAGAGGGCTATCAACTGGAACAGTGCCATTCGGACACCCAGCGTCAGTCAGAAGAGCCAAGCACATCCTCCTGAATACTGTCACTAGCACAGCAGATGGCCTCTGCTATGTGATGGTGCTGATCTGACATGATCCGTTCTCCTTGACTACAGTTTTGGCTTCCGTCGTTGTCTGAGGCTTAGGTGGCCATTCAGGATCAACTGAGAGCTCCTGGGCCAGGTACATGTATTTTGCCTTTGGTGTCTTCTTTCTACAGCTCAGGGCCCAGGACAAGCAGCATTTCCCCCATCGATCCACTGACTCCTAGGAAAGGAAAAACATCCCGAGTAAGGGCTTATTTGTTACAGCATGCACTGAGCATAGAACAAGATGAAATAACTTCTGAATGCAACAAATAACTAGGAAAAAATTTCATGCAAAAAAAGGTCAGCTTTCAATTTAGGAACAGATTGTTTTAAAGCGGATTTTTCCAAGCTCCTTTAGTTTTGTGCACATATCCTCTTGTGTACTTACTATATTATTTAAGTAGCTTTCTCTAGCAGAAAACACCCAGGATGAGTAACTTGAAAGTACTCAGAAGATAGTTTTATTATCTAATTTGGAAATCCTCATATCCTATCTCAAATTTTTTTTTAAATATATTATTGATACCCACCAATCACTTTTAAAAGAATCACTGAAAGCTATCACTGTTACTGCTAATAGCGCTTTCAAAACACAAAGCATGAAGTAAACACCACAGAGTGAAACCAGAATCTCACTGTCACATTTAAAATTGCATCTCTGGGGGCTGGAGGGATGGCTTAGGGGTTAAGAGCACCGGCTGCTCTTCCAGAGGTCCTGAGTTCAATTCCCAGCAACCACATGATGGTTCACAACCATCTGTAATGAGATCTGGAGCCCTCTTCTGGTGTACAGGCATAGATACGTGATAAATAAATCAATCTTTAAAACAAACAAACAAACAAAAACTGCATTTCTGGCCAGGCATGGTGGCATATACCTGCAATCCCAGTGTGGGTGCTGCAGTGGTCTGTTTCTGTCAAATTGACACAGGCCAGAGTCATACGGGAAGAGGGAACCCCAACTGAGAAAATGCCTCCATCAGACTGGCCTGTAGGCAAGTCTGTGGGCATTTTCTTAATTAATAATTGATGTGGGAGGGACCAGACCACTGGGTGTTGTCTAAGAAAGCAAGTTGAGCAAGCCCTGGGGAACAAGGCAGTAAGCAATGTTCCTCCATGGCCTCTGCTTCAGGTCCTGCCTTGGCTTCCCCTGATAATAGACTGTAACCTGTAAGCCAAATAAGCCCTTTCCTCCCCAAGTCACATCAGTCATGGTATTTTATCACAGCAAGAAAAGCCTAACTCACACAGCTACACAATAAGACTGTTTTTAAAAAACAAGTACCACCATATTCTCACTGACAGAAAACTACTTTCACCAAAGTTTCCCTTGATGTTCCACAAGCAAGTGCTGGGCTCAAGAGATGGCTCAGTCATTAAGAGAAGCAACTGCTCTTTCAGAGGACCCAAGTTCAATTCCCAGCACACACATGGCAGCTAGCTCACAACCATCTGTAATTTCAGTTCCAAGAGCTCTAACGCCCTCTTCTGTCCTCCACAGGCACTGCACATACATGGTACAGACACACATGCAGGTAAAACACCAATACACAAAATAAAAATAAGCTGAGACCATTGTGATCAATCATGATGCTACTGATGAATACGACCTTAGATAAATAATCCTTGGAGAACAGGAAGGCAAAGTTCTTGAAGAAAAATAAACAGAATAGTTTCAAGTGAAGTTTGAATTAATCTAAATGACTCTTGTTTCACCTCTGAAAACAGACCATAAATTACTTGGTTATTGCTTCTCCCAAGGAAAATTTAAATCCTAGATCATTCTTCTGCCAAACAACAATGAGTCAATCCACACTGGGCTCTAACCTCAATGGAAGCCATCCTACAAAATGGAAATACAAATACAAATATGAACATCCAAAGTACCCACAGCCAAGAAAGGCAATGTGTTATAATACATACTTGAAACATGCTTCTTCACTGGCCAGGCGTGTGTAGTCCCTGCAATCCTAGCACTGGGGGTGTGGGGGGGGGGGGGAGAGGCAGGCAGGCAAGGCAGATGATTTGGGGGCTCACCACCAAGCTGAGCTAAACAGCAGGTTTGGGGCTAGTTTAAGCTACAAAGTGATACCTCTATCTCAACAGATCGATCCATCAATCAATTAAGGCAAGTAGCAGCCAATGGGAAGGACCAAAAGTACTTCAAAACAAAAGCTCTAAAACTGTAATTCCTGGTGCTTCTCTCACTACAGTGAGACAACCATCAGTAACCCTGCCTCTCTTCTTCAGTAAGTAGATATGACATTGAGTTGCATCGCTCCCAAGGATTTAAAGGCAAAACTGTAGTCACAGATAAGTTATATTACATCCTAGGGAAAACTATAAAAGATTTGAAGATTATTCATCCAGTAACCCCTGTTACCATCACAATGAAAGTTATGAGCTGTGCATGGTGGCACTTGCCTGTAATCCCAGTACACAGGAGGGCAGAGGCAGGAGGATCTTCAGAAGTTTGAGGCTGGCCTGGTCTACATCGTTGAGTTCAAGGTCAGCCAGTGCTTTACAGTGAGATCTTGCATCCAAAAAAGGAAAGCCCCAGGTGGGGGTTACAGGTGTGATATTTCGTTATTCTCTTTTTTAAAGCGTTCATGACAAATCACTGTGTATTAGGATCCAACAGTCACCATGCACAGGATCCCTCGGGTGATCAAGAACGGCTAGCAGGTCCCTTCCCACCCCGGTCATCTGAGATGACACTACACTACTACATTTTACTGCTTCCCCGGTGCTTGGACTCTTCAGCCCAACTGTGGCAAAGATCATTGTTCCTAAATATGAAAGCTGTCTCTTCCATTTATCACAGCATTGCTAAAGCATCACAGAGAAACACGTCATGCTTGTCTGTGCAGATGAGTCCTTTGGGAAGGTGACGCAGAACAGGCAAAAAGCCCCAAGTAATAGAACTGAAGACACACACATTCCCCTCTAAATTCACTGTTCTACACCCGTGGAAACAAAGGCAAGCAATATAATTAAAGCTAATCACAAATGGCATCATAATTGCAGATTTCTTTTAACATTTTGGGATATATTATATATACATATATATTCACATGTTTAAAACAATGTATATTCATTGTACATCAAGTCACAAGGAACACCTGAGATTTCCCCTATTCCACCATAATTAGAAACATGTTTGTTCCTGTACCCTTATCTCCCCCAAATGTCACAAACAAACAAACAAACAAACAAACAAACTACACTACACACAAAGTTCGTGAGACTGCACATAAATGTACCACACACATCCTCAAACAACACAAATTCACTGGAAGAGAAAATTGAAGGCTACAGTCATGACAGAGTGAGAAATCAGGAGAGGAAGGATGACAGCAAGGGAGACAGGCAGTCAATGTGGAACACAAAGCGTATTTAGTCACGGGGCTTAGAGTGAGCACTTGGATCTCCCCAACACAGAGGTCCAGTCCCTGCAGCAGAACACTGGATCCTTGGATTTAGTTAATTGGGGATGGTTAACGTGGCCAAAAATAGAATCTCCAAAACAAGAAGAGCAAGAGTCCACGGGTCAACAGGGAAACCACACAGAACGTTTATGAAGATCTGCAGCCACAATCTTGCTTCTGAGACACTCCAAGTTGCTCATTCTAATGCCCGGCTCTTTATGGCTAGCAGTCATTTAGGAAGCATTTCTTCATGCACAGCATGTACTGTGGTATTCATAAATCTTCTACATCAATCCTCAATATAAAACAAATACAATCCAAACTAGCAATCTAAGTAAGTTCAAATGGTATTTTCAAATAGTTTTTTTTTTTTTTAAGTTGCATAATGGCTACAGTTCACAGATTTTCACTAAAGATAAAATGTATCAGGTACATAACCTCAACAGGGTCACAGTGTACAACAGCATGATTCTAGTTCTCTCGTGGCTTTCAAATGCAACCACTTCAGTTTAGCGTGAAGCCTACAGCTCTGAACTAACTCAGTGTGCCCCTGAATGTGGTAAGGAAAGAAAGGGTGTTCTTTCTCTGACACCAACACAAAACTGGAGAGCTGCAGTCTGGGCTTTCATGGGCTTCTCTGTAAAAACGAGCAGCACCAGTTGGGCAGTGCAGAGTAGGGACTGTGGCGGAATCACAGCACCACACACCACGAGGCCTGGAGGAACCTAGTGCCGCCAGCCATCTCTGCTTCCTTCCACTCAGCAGGGCTTTCTACTTCAGCAAGGGTGGGACCTTGAGCCACACAATTCTTTTTTGGCTGGGGTGGTTGTCTATGTACCACAGGACATTTATTTACCAGCCCCAATGGCCTCTACCCACCTACATGTCAACAACAACCTCTCCCTTATTTCTGATAACCAAAACTGTCCAGAGCCACTGCCAAGTGGTCCCTGATGGGGGAGAGGAGTTAGACAGAGTTGCCCCTGATGGAGGAGAAACTCAGCATTACTTACACACAGGAGCATCACTAGAGGAAACAATATGCATTAATAGAAGGACTCTCCTTTTCTAAAAGTAAAACTCCAAAAAGTGCTTTCTTAAAACCACAGAACTAAGGCCAAAATTCTTGTCTACCCAATGATATCCAAATTGGGTCAATTTGCAAGAATGCTGAGCTTACATGCTAATGGACTGTCCCTGTATCTCTATTCCCTCCCAGGAACATTTTTAGAGGTGGAACTTCACATGAAATAAAAACTTTTAAAAGTTAAGAATCATTATTTAGAGATTTTAAGGAAAAAAGACAGTAGTAAATAACAAATAGATAGCCATTTTATTGTGCTGGGGATCTCTCTGAACCAGGCAGGGTGGCAATGAATCCCAGCACTCAGGAGGCAGAGGTAAACAGATCTCTGAGTTTGAGGCCAGCCTGGTCTACAGATTGAGTTCCAGGACAACCAGGGCTACACAGAAACCCTGTCTCCAAAATCCAAAACCAAAAAGCATTTTATAGGGGACTTAAAAGACTCATTTGACTAAATAAGCAAATAAGCTCCTCTTCAGAACATGTCTGCACTTGCTATTTAGACAAGGTTAGAGATCTCTTTGGAGAAGGTAAAAATTTGCATGTTTCCCTAGGCCTGTGTCTTTCCAATACTAATATTTCACATGAGAAGGGTGACCTGAGACAGTCTGACCTTCTGAAATAATGTAGTGATAGTGAAGTCACCAAAAGAAAATACAGCTATGTCATTATGACCAAGGAGATTCAGCTAAAGGACCTGAGCCCCACAGTTCTTTCTGGTCTTGCTCACTACTGGTGACAAACAGGCATGACACTGCTTTGAGGAAGAAGAACTGGAGTTGACCTCAGACCCATGCTGTCACTGCATGCCGTTGTTAGTCCACCATAAGCACAGAGCACAAAGTGGCACTCTCCATCTTACACAGCAAGCCCAGCATCAAACCTGGATCTCAGGCCTGCTTAATCACCAACACAAAACTCGGGAGGTCACCATTTAGGGAAAAGGTGATGACAGTGAGTTAATGGTCTAAGTCAGAAATGTCAGCCAATCCTTGAACACGCATTAGCAAGGCACATCACCCACACTATAAAGAGCAATGGGTTATGGGTTCTAATGCGTTACAATCTACTATCTTTGCACTCTCTGTGATCTTCTACTGCAGCCTCTCAGGTGCTGGGACTGTGTGTTGCAACTCCTGGCAAGGAGAGATGTTGAATGCTCAAGTTCTCATGGGGCTGACTGAATGACAGCCATCGACAGACTAAGTCTAACCTGTCCATTCTGTCAAGAGCTCTACTGGAGCATCCTCACACTAACTAACAGAGCTATTCATCTGTTTCTCTTTCCTTTTGCCAGAGCTTTGTGCTACCTGATAAATCACAGGCTATTTCACTGTCTTTCAAAGCCCTCACCACTGCTTACACAGAAATGAGAAAATACTTTTCTGAATGAGAAGTACTGGTCAGGTAGAGCCCAAGGCCACATTAAATTAATGCATAGCAGCTGTCAAAACAGAAACACAGAAATAAATCCGCATGTAGAAAGTGTCTCTTGGTTCTGATCCAATAAAAACAAAAATTTGTTTACATGACTGGCATTTACATGTGAAAATCAAACACAGAAACTATAAAGCAGGCAGAAATTAAAGAATTAACTCTCAGTCGGGTGGTGGTGGCGCACGCCTTTAATCCCAACACTCATGAGGCAAAGGCAGGCGGATTTCTGTGAGTTCAAAGCCAGCCTGGTCTACAAAATGATTCCAGGACAGCCAGGGCTACCCAGAGAAACCCTTCGGGGAGGTGGAGGGAGAAAGAATTAACTCTCATGTCTGAGGATAAGACAGACAGACCGAGACATTTGCTCATGCACATACACACATACTGAGGATTGGAATGGAAAAGACTTAGGAAATTCCCAAAGTCCTAAAAAGCCTGTATTAAGTGCTTGCCATGAGTTTTCTCGGACTCCTTACCAAAAAAGGAAAAGAAATGCCAGGCACAGAGAGGAGGCCGAAGCTGCACACACAGATAACAGAACAAAGCACACAGAGGAAAGCCAATAGGGACGTGAAGAATCAAGAGTAACTGCTCGATCCCAACCTGTGGCGGCTGTGTGGTGGTGACACGACACTCTCCTTGTCTGTCTCGACTGAACACAACTTTCCAAAGGACCGTGTCAAGGAAGAAGCTCTGAGAGACAGTCCAGTGAGGTAAGAATTAAAAACGCCAGGTCATTCCTTCCAACATGCACATTTCATAACATTCACACAATGCTGCATCATTAATATAAACAATGTGAAAGGCTTTTCATATGGCAAACCTCAGTCAATACTACAAAAGGATAAATAACAACTCTAATAACAAATACAAGTCATAAAATTCTTGATAAAACAAAACTAAGTTTTCTACAAATCAGGTTCTGATCCCCAGTGCTTCCTTAAATTAACAATGCTGATGATTCATAGCCTTTTTCTTAAAGAGTTATTTTCACTTAATATCTAATATTCTGTCTACATCTCTCTACAAACGTTTCATCAGCATCCAATACAAATAATTCTCTAGATAACAGGAATAAAAAACAACATCTGAAAAAAAATGAACCTACACAATAGGAAAGAGAGTGCTTACGATACAGTCTTACTGTGCTTTCTAGGACTCTTGAATAGAAAATACACATTCTATGGAACAACTTAAAATGATCGACTACAAATATTCATGCTCCCATCACATCTCAATTTAAATCCAAGCTATCTTTTTGGGATAGCTGAATTTCAGCATAATTTCTCAATCTAGAATTATCACTAAAATAAATACATACTTTCAAAAGCCTCTACTATACAAGTCCTTAAACATCACAACTTTACCACTGTCTTGTCTGTTTCTTACACCGATATAAAGAGAAGCTTGAGAACTTACTAGTTCTTTTTAGAGACATTGTCCCGAAGGCTATTTTCTTCTTAAGCGGTACACTCTGCTTTCCATTAGGGAACACAAGCGGTTCTGTGAGCTGCTGGATACCTACTTCTCTTTCTACTCACCACTCATTTTTGCTACCTCACTACCTAATGCCGCCTATGTTCATGAATACAACTCCATCAAATCTCTTGACAGAACTACAGAAAGGTCTGATTGGCAAGCTAAAAGAATTTGCCTAAAATGAAATGAGAGAGTGGGCTTCTGTATAATAAATAATATTACCTGTTCTCCCCACCACTATCATCACCAGCACCTTTAAATCACCCAAGAATCCCAAAGCTGAGTGCTTGCTTACCTCGACCATGATAGACACGAAGGCATTGATAAGAACAATGATAAGCATATATATACGCCACTGGTAGGGTACACACACAATCTAGAAGACAAAAAATTATAGTTACTCTTAATTGATATTACAGCATTACATCATGGTTTTATGAAGTTAGACATGGTAGCACATGCCTGTAATCCCAGTACTTGGGAGGTAGATAAAAGAAGATCATGAGTCCAGGCATCCTCAGGTACCTAGTGGGTTCAAAGCCAGAATGGGATACTAGAGACCTTTCTAAAAAAAATAAACAAAAAATCTGAGTTTACTGAAATCCTATTACGTACCTATATTCACACACTTTATCTATTTAACTTTTAATAATGCCACAAAGCATGTATCTTTTCACACAATAAAAGTCTATCTCATAATTTAAAAAGTGACTGAACTCAGCATTAAATCTTAAGAGACTCAAAAGTCCATGCCCTAATCTACAGTATTATACATGTCTAACAAGTCTGTATTTTTAAAATAAAAAATCTGCCTTTCAAAAATGAGGCAGAGGTTAGATCAATGGCTCAGTGATTAGGAGCATGTGCTTCCAAAGGCTCTAACTCTGGTTCCTAGCATCCGGATCTGCTAGCTAACAACTACCTGTTAACTCCAGCTCCAAGGGATTCAATGTCCTCGTCTGGCCTCTGCAGGCACTGAAGTCAGCATGCACGTTCCTCTAGACATGCACATAGTTAAAAAGAAACCTTTTCAAAACATGAGGCGACCACTCATTTAATGCTGGCCAAACCTCAAGCTGACTTCCACCTACTTAAGCCTCCAAGCAGCTAGCTTATCATGCCAAGCACATGCCATCATATCCAACTAAAATCTGATTGTTCTCTACAACCTAAAAGATCCTTTCAGTTAGCAAGATACTAGGAGGCCAAGGCGTGAGATGACCTAATGAACTTCACATTAACAATACACTAATGGTCCAGTAAGTTTGAGATGAGGAGACTGGCAAGAGATGCCAGAAGGCCAAACCAGACTAGGGCCAATGAACCTGAAGTAAGGATAGAAGAATCTCCAGAATAGGGAAACTAAACAATGGTAAAAACAAAACAAAGAAGCCACAAAACAAAAACACTTTAAAAAGAGGTGGGATCAAGAGAACCAGCAAAATGGAAAGAGAACACGATACATTTAGCTTTTTTTTTTTTCGAGACAGGGTTTCTCTCTGTAGTTTTGGTGCCTGTCCTGGATCTTGCTCTGTAGACCAGGCTGGCCTCAAACTCACAGAGATCCTCCTGGCTCTGCCTCCTGAGTGCTGGGGCCCAGCCAATACATTTAGCTTTAAGCCTTAGCATCTAGATGCTGTATGTGTGATGTATGCACACACTTATGTGCACACAGGAGGCCAGAGGAGGATGTCAGTTTCCTGTTCTATCACTCTCCAATTTATGCCCCTGGTGCTGGGATTAGAAGCACACACAACCATATCCAGTGTTTTACGTGGGTTCTGGGATTTGAACTTGGGTCCAGCAAACACTCTTATCCCAAGCTCGTTCAACCTCAAAGTTAGCTTTTTCAAATGCTCCATTTGGGGAACGGCTGTCACTTCGAATTCAGGTCTACAGCTCAGTAGTGACAGCTCATCTGGGGTATAGACTGAACAGTCTTGAACTTACTGATGCCAACTACAAGCAAACCTTGACTACAAGGAGATCATCTGAGTACCGAGCTAAGAGAGAGACACAACCAGAGAGCAGACCCACACCGGGGACCCAGAATGAGGACCACGGCAGGCAGGAAAAGCCAGAGGGAAAAAAGCACCGCAATCTAAGTGGAAGATGTTTGAAAACACTGGCCTGGTTATGAGGGTCAATACTTCAGGAACTAAAGAACAGCTCAGGAAAAAACTTCAAAGAGACACACCCTTTGGATGGAACTACTAAGGTGGTTAATGATCTTGGTCAGGGCAGTTTCACTACATCAGCCATGCTAGGTGACAGAGTGTATGGAGGTGAGCAGAATATGTGTTTAAAACGCTTAACTAAATCTCTCAATGAAACACATGAACACACCCAGACACTGCTCTTCAAAATTCAGTAATGCAGTTTTGATGAGGACTCAAGATAAAACGTCCTGTGGTATGGGTAAGGTCTGTCACTCTTCCAAACTCCTGTGGCAATGTGGTTCCCAATATAAGCGTTAAGGGTAAGGGGGCCTTTGTGAGTGAGGACTTTACAGGGATTCCATTTCCAAGGAAGGATGAATGTACTTTCTGCTAAGGTAATTTAGTTATAATAGCAAGAGCAGGGTGTTCGAAAGTGAACTGGGCCCCATGGCTCTTTATTACTACACTTCTTACTCTGTGACCTCCTCTACACGTGCCAATTTGATTTTCCACCTTTCGGCCCTGAGAGGAGATGGAAGTCCTCACAAAAAGCTGAATTGATGATGCTGGCGCAGTGCTCTCAGACCTCCAGGACTTTAAGCCAAAAAGACCAAAACAAAACCCCCTCTTCTCTCCATAAACTGTCTTTCTTCAACTATTTTGTTATGGCAACAGGAAACGCTGTGGGGCCAGAGTGACAGACAGTTTGGTGGAGGAGAGTACTGGCTGTTTTTACAGTGGATCTGGGTTCAGTTCCCAGCACTAGAATGGTGGCTCACAAATGCCTGTAACACCAGTTCCAAAGGGATCAGTGGTATCCTTTCCTGGCTTACTTGGGTACCAGACAAGCTGCAGTACATATACATGTGTGTAGACACTTACAAACACACATACAACAGATCTTTATAAAAATGAAAACATGGGGGGGGGCTAAGCTAGGTGGTGGTGGTGGCCATGCATGCCTTTAATTCCAGCACTTAGGAGGCAGAGCAAGCAGATCTACAGAGTCAACAAGTTCCAGGATAGCCAGAGCTGTTACACAAAGAAATCATCTCGGGGGTGGGGGGGAAACCAACCAATAACTAACAACAACAAACACACATGGGACTGAAGAGATGGCTAAGAGGCTAAAAGCGTGTGCTGCTCTTCCAAGGTCCCAAAGTCAGTTCCCAGCACCTACTATCAAGTGACTCACAAACTCAACTCCGGTTTCCAGAGGATCTGAGGCCTCTGGCCTGAGGAAAACCTGCACTCAAGGACACATATCCACATGTAAACACACATACAAATAATATAAATCTTAAAAAAAAAAAAAAACAATAGCAACAACAAAAAAGACAAAACTACACTCCCAGGAATTCCACTTTTGTGCCCTAGCCTATAATACACATTTGTTTGTGTTATAATAACTTAGAACATCAAGATACTGGAAATAACCTAAATGAAGTTAGCTAAAAAAAAAAAAAAAAAAAAAAAAAAAATAGGGAAAAGTCTGTACTACGGATTTCTCTTGGATCTTCTTTTTTTAAAGACAAGGTCTCACTTTGTTGCCCAGGGTAGCCTCAAACTCCTAAGCTCAAGCAATCCTCCTGCCTTGGTATCCCAAATCAGTGTAAATGGATAATGGTGTTTGTTCCCTTAATATAACAGTCTTGCAATACATCTAACAAAAATGTACAAAACATCTCATGGAGAAAACTACACTACTGAAAGGAATCTTCACTGTTTACTCTGTGAGAACGTTTTCAAAAAGGATCTGACTAAGGATGCAGGATTCTAATCATAGGTGCCACCATCCCATGGGTTTGGGGGCCCAGATTGATAAACAGGAAAAGAGGCTCCCCTTCTATTCTGAAGAGCTGTGAGGAGGACAGGACCCAGACTGCAGAGAGCACCAGCCCCTATCCCCTCCCCCAACACGGAGCTGAGAGCTGTAGGGATCTGAGCACTTTACCTCTCAGTTCCAGGCAGAGATGCTCTTTTATTTGTGCCTGTTTCCTGGAGGGTTTGCTTTTGTCTGTTTGCTGCTGTTAGGTTTGGGAACTGTTGTGTATGTTTTTTCATCCAGTCTACTACAAGGCTTTTTTTTTTTTTTTAATTATCCCTTTCGTCTATATCTCAAATACTTTACCCCTTATTTTAATGTCTTTTCCTTTTTCATTGTTTTTTGTTTGTTTGTTTGGTTGGTTGGTTGGTTTTTTGAGACAGGGTTTCTCTGTAGCTTTGTGCCTTTCGGGGATCTCGCTCTCTAGACCAGGCTGGCCTCGAACTCACAGTGATCCACCTGCCTCTGCCTCCTGAGTGCTGGGATTAAAGACGTGTGACACCACTGCTCGGCTCCTTTTTCATTCTTAATCCTGCCTCATTTTACCTATCAGTTATAAGCCTCTTTTTACCTATCAGTTATAAGCCTGAACAATTTCTACCATCTGTAGGCCCTAACAGTATCTCAACTTCCCTCTCCTTGATTCTTTTTACAAAGCTGAACTCATCCTTATCCTCACCCTCCCAACTTTCCTCCTAATCCTAACCTCAGTAACGAAATCCCAGGATACTCCATATTATCAGTGGTAGTTCATTCTCCAACAGACTGGTTACCACATCCGTAAAGATAATGTCCAGCAGCTGTGGTTACTATTCTCAGGGAATAGACAGAGCCCACCACCAGGAACTCCTTTTTAAACTGACCCTCAACTCTACCATATCCAAGTCTCACAATTAGCACTCCAATTGAAAGAATGTATCTTATTAAAAAAGAAACATTCCTAGTAATGAAATAATTCCAGATATGTGAACTCCAAAGAAGTAACGTAAGAAATTGGAAAAAACAACTCTTCCAAAAATTACTAATCCTACAGTAATGGCATCTAGTAAGAATGAATTATATGAAGCCCCGGCAGAGAATGCAAAAGGTAAGCATGCCTGAAGAAATCAAAGAAGATAAGCTGCTGAATGGGGACATAAGCAACTGAATGAAACAGAGAAGGCAACGCAAGGCTCTAAAGAGAGACGGAACTCCTAAAGAAAAACTAATCTGCATGCTGGGAACGGAAACAAGTCAAATAAAAATCTCCCTGCAAAGTTTCAGCACCTGAATGGACCAAGGGGAGGAGAGAAAGTGGAGGAACTAGAACAAACCAACACAGAAGAAGATAATTAATAAAGTTACCAACGAGAATTTTAAAAAGTGTGACACTCTATAAAGACCAAATATACGGGTTATAGGCACAGGAGAAAAATCTCATTCTAAAGGCAGAGAAACATTAACAAGATTTCTTCATGTTAGGAAAAGATGCCAACCAAGTTCTAGGAGGCATTGAGGACCAAACAGGCAAGACCAGAAAAGAATCTCCTCGGTCACAGCACAATTAAAATAGTAAATTAAAAGCAGCAGGGGGAAAACCAACAAGTCATATATCAAGGCAGGCTTATCAGGAGAAGAACAGGTCATGCGACTAAAATTTTAAGAGTCAGAAGACTTGGAATGATGTCTTTCAAGTTCTGAGAGATAACTGCCAACCCAGAATACTATACCCAGCAAAGCTGTCATAACTGAAAGAAAAATAAAAACTCTCCATGATAAAAATAGACAAAATTTGTGATCACTAAGCCAGCTCTATATAGAAGATACTTTAAGGAATTTTTCATACTGAAGAGAAACTGATCCATCCATAACACTACAGAATAAAACAAACTACATAATGGTGTGGAATATTTAAGATGTGCTGCATTCATTTATGCTGTGAAATATTTGTTTAATGATGCAAAGATGTGTTGTATTCTTATATGTTGCATTTGTTTAACTCTGTGAAGCTGTGTTACTTTGCCTGCCTAAAATACCTGATTGGTCTAATAGAGCTGAACAGCCAATAAATAGCTAAGTTGGAGAGAGAAACAGGTGGACTGCCAGGCAGAGAGAATAAATGGGAGAAGAAATCTAGGCTCGAGAGAAGAGGAGGAGTGAGAGAAGGATGCCAGGGGCCAGCCACCCAGCCAGCCAGAGTCAAAATGGAAGAGAAAGAGAGATCTATAGAATAAAGAAAGGTAAAAAGCGCAGAGGAAATGTAGTTAAAGAGAAACAGGATAATTTAAGTTAGAAAAGCTGGCTAGAAACAAGCCAAGCTAAGGCCGAGCATTCATAAGTAAGAATAAGTCTATTTATTTGGGAACTGGGTAGCAAGCAATGAATAAAAAACAAAACAAAAGAACTGCATAACTGTTAAGTGAGAGGGGGGAAAAAGAAAAAAAGCACTGCCCAAAATCAAGAAAATGACAAGAATCAATACACAACCTTCCATGGTAAGTGAATATTAATGGCCTCAATTCCTAAATTGAAGACCCAGTAGAAAAGAAAAAGAAAAAAAAAAAAAAAAAAGCAAGAACCATTAATTCGCTGCCTCTAAGAAATGTACCTCACCACAAGACCGACATACCACCTTAGGGTGAAAGGCTGGGTAAAAGGTACTGCAAGCAAATGGACCTAACAAACAAGCAGGTGGTTTACTATCTGACAAGAGACTAGAAGTCAAAACAAGTAATGAAAGACAGTCATTTCACACATCAAGAGGACATTAAAACTGTAAATGTTTGTGTCCCAAAGACAGCTGCACTACTTTCAGAAAACAAATACTATTAGAAGTGAAGCCACAGGGGCCGGGCGGTGGTAGCGCACGCCTTTAATCCCAGCACTCGGGAGGCAGAGCCAGGCGGATCTCTGTGAGTTCGAGGCCAGCCTGGGCTACCAAGTGAGTCCCAGGAAAGGCGCAAAGCTACACGGAGAAACCCTGTCTCGAAAAACCAAAAAAAAAAAAAAAAAAAAAAGAAGTGAAGCCACAGATCAACCCTAAAGCAATAGTAGTGGGTAACTTCAAACCCCTGACTCTCTCAATTGGCAGATCTTCTTGACAAAAAAAATAAAGACGATAATTAGACGATATCATAGATAAATGGCCTTTAAGAGACACCCACAGAACATTCCATCCAAACATTGCAAATCCATTATTTTCAGCAGTCCATGGGACTTTCTATAAAATAGATCAACATTAAGAAAACTCATAAAGAAGTGTAGGAGACACGAAGTTAAGCACTAGGGGGAAAAGAATGTTAAACATACAGGGCTGTCTCTTCAAAGAAGTATTTCCAAAGGCTGCGAGTGGATGTGGCTAGTAGCCTGGTGACCTCTGCACCAACCATATGGCAAGGCCACACCTGACTCCCCCAGACTCTTACATTTATCTCTATAGTGCTACATAATGCTGTCCTCTCCCAAACCTTTATCATGAGCTGTTTACCTCGAGCCAGCTTTTCCCAGTTAATCAATCTACAGAACCTAGCTTTACGGAAAATGCCACTTGTACTTTATAAAGAGTTTTGATGTAATCATGTCTTAAGTTTTATTGTACACATGGGATTGAGTTAATTATCGCAAGGGAACTTTCCCCAAAATTATGCTGTGCTTAAATATGCCTGAAACAAACTGCCTGGTGTCAGACTCTCAAAGTTTGAGGCAACACTGGCTACTGAGTAGTATTGAACCAGACTTCCTTCTTGCCTAACACAGATTGGCACTCTGCTGGCTCTGATGTTGGCAGAGACCCCCCCCACAAGGAAGAACAAGACTCTACTTGATCAAAGTAATCTTGAGCAAAAATAACACTGCTGGAGGTATAACCATAACTGATATCAAGTTATGCTGAAGAGCCACAGTAACAAAAGCAGCATGGTACTGGCAAACACCACCACCACCTCAGACACGGAGATCAATAGACTAGAAGAGAGGATTCGTCAGAGTCTACACAACTATAGCAACTCCATTTTCAACAAAGATGCCAAAAGCACACGGTGGAGAAAAGACAGCATTTTCAACAAAATATGATGGGAAAACTGAAGACCAAAATGCAGACTGAAACTAGTTCCTTATCTTAACTCCAAATGGATAAAGAACCTCAGCACAAGAGCTGAAACTCTGAAACTGCTTCAAGAAAAAGGTAGAGTACACATTAAGATATTGGCACAGGGAAGGAATTTGTGAATAGGACTCTGACCACTCAGGCAGGAAGTAAGATCAATAGCAAATAGGATTGCATGAAATTAAAAAGCTTCCGTACAGCAAAACCACCACCAACAAAATCCTGTCAACCCACTGAAGAGGCAGCCTATGGGTTAAAAAAAAAAAAAAAAAAAAAAAACTTTGCCAGTTATACATCCAACAGAGGATTAGTATATAGAATATACAATGAATTCAAGAAACTAAACAGTAAAAAAACAGCACCACCCCAAACAAGGGAGTGGGGTACTGAGCAGTGAGTCCCCCCCCCCCAAAAAAGGGCAAATAAACATTTAAAAGTATTCAACACCAGTAGTCAACTCGAAAACAAACCCAAACTGGTTTGAGATTCCATTTCACCTAGTCAGAATGGCTACAATCAAGAAAACAAACGTTACCAAATGCTGGTGAAAATGTGAGGAAAGAACCCTTAATCCACTGTTGGTGGGAATGTGAACTGGCACAGCCACCATGGAAACCAGTGGTTTCTAAGAAGCTTAAAAAACTGAATTACCACCGGGTGGTGGCGGCGGCGGCGGCGGCGGCGGCGGCGGCGGCGGCGGCGGCGGCGGCGGCGCACGCCTTTAATCCCAGCACTCGGGAAGCAGAGCCAGGCGGATCTCTGTGAGTTCGAGGCCAGCCTGGGCTACCAAGTGAGTTCCAGGAAAGGCGCAAAGCTACACAGAGAAACCCTGTCTCGAAAAACCAAAAAAAAAAAAAAAAAAAAAAAAAGTAGAGGGAGGGGTTGGGGATTTAGCAAGCACAAGGCCCTGGGTTCGGTCCTCAGCTCTGGAAAAAAAAAAGTAGAGGGAAAGAACATTAGTAGTTAAGCAGGGTTTAAGGTGATGGGGAGGAAGAGGGAGTAGGGGTGAGCTAAGGAAAAATTTAGGGAAACCTCTTTGTAAGCTAGTTTAAAATATGCACACGGACTGGAGAGATGGCTCAATGGTTAAGGGTATTTGCTCCTCTTGCAAAGGACCCAGCTTCAGTTCCAGCACCCACACAACAGCTCAAAACTGTCTCCAACTCCAGTTTTAGCTGATCTGGCTCCCTCTTCTGGTCCCTGTGGGCACTACATACATGTAGTGCACCTACATACATGCAGGCAAACCACTCACACACACAAAATAAAAATAAGTATTTTTTTTAAATTTATATATATAAAACACTAAGAGTGAGTTCCAGGGCAGGCTCCAAAGCTACAGAGAAACCTTGTCTTGAATAATCAACCAACCAACCAACCAACCAACCAAACAAAGCTCCTAACAGGATGAAACTCACAAACTTTATGCGTGGGGAACTGAGAGATGACAGAGGTACCACTGAAGACACATGGAAAAAGATGTGCCAATGAACTAATCAGGTATAATCAATAAAATCTATTTTAATTATGTTATTTCTTTTAGAGCATCTTTTAGTAACTACAACTCTATCTTAGACAAAGGGAAAGAAGCAATACTGGGAAAAATAAATGGAGGAAGTTTAATCTTCAGTATCAAACATCAGAAGTATTATTTAGCTGTTTACATTCCACATAATACTACAATGTCACTTTCCATTAATGTCTTATTACTGTTACCCCAGTTCCTATCAGCCATGACACAAGTAATAAATGAAATGCTAAGCCTTACCTCAAGAACTTGGTCAACAGAGGCAACTGGATGCAACATGATGAATAATATGAAAACATACAAAATAATCACAGATATAACAAAAAAATCTGGAAAAGAAAGTAAACAATTAAATTAGGCATTTTCTTTAAATGAAAAGGTGCCAAACACCAAGAAGCATATAATTACGTCAAGATTTGGTTGAAACACCTCTACGTGCTGATGAAATAGAAAAAGCATATGTTGTTATTTCCTACAGTGTAAGACATTGTGCAACCCCACAAAAGATTCATTAGAGGCATCTAAAGTCTATTGGCGTCAACCTTAAATGTATGTCAGATAATGGTAGCACATGCTTTCATCTCAGCATTCCAGACACAGACAGATCTGAGTTCCTGGCCAGAAAATATAGTGAGACCCTTATCAAGTGATTCCCCTGCACAAGTACAACTAAATTAACACATATTAGTTATCTAAAACTATTACGGCAGTTAAAGAAAGTGCTGGTTGGAACTACACAACCACAAACAGATCAAATGGGGAGAAAAAGAACAAAACTAAAGGAAATAGTCCCAGGCAGGTATGATGACGCAGGCCTGGAAAGCAGAGGGAGAAGACCGAGTCTAAGGTCAGCCTGACCTGCAAGATGAGATCTATCTCAGAAGAGTGAATCAGAATGGACTGATGATTGAAGTTTCAATTCAATAAAGACATAACCCATCAGAAACTTTTCAAATCTTACGACATTTAATAATTGTTCCTAATATATTCCTTAGTTAAGAAAGTTGTTATATTTACCTAAACATGTTTTTCAAAAGTTGCTGAGCCACCCCAGGTCTGACTTCTAAAAATCTGCCCCAGATTTCCAGGAGAGGAAAAACAATTATTTTCACTAGCCTGGAGATGAAAAAGCTCCTACAGGCTGGGAGATGCTCGGCAGTTGAGCACTTGCTGCTCCTCTACAAGATACATGTTCTGCTCCCAACACCCTCATCCGGTAGCTCACAACTGCATCTAACTCCAGCTCCAGAGACTCTAGTGCCCTTTTCTGGCCTCTGTGAGCATTGCATACAATTAACATGGACACAGAGACAGAGACACTTATAAATAAAAATAAGTCTTAAGCACTATTCAAAAAAGGTAGATGTCGCATGGCTTTATTTTATGTAATAAGCACACAAACATTTTTTTGAAAATCCTTGAAGACTTCAATAAGAATGGAAAATCGAGTATTGAGGTGAGAGAGGCAGGAATGTTAGGAGGTTACTCTCAGCTTCTGGGTCCTCTTAGGACGGTCAGTGAGCACTCAGCAATCCTGTTAGAGTGCAAACCCTCTTCACCAGAGCAAGTGCCAGAGCATCACAAGCTGCTGGCGACTGCAGGGCGGGGCCACGGGGTTAGGTTAGAAACTGAGTTAAAAGTCCAATCATTCCGCCGAAAATGGGGCTATACTGTTATAACAAAAGTATTTTTTTAAGTAGATACTTTTAAATACTCAAAAATGTAAAATAAAGAGCAGGCCATGGTGGAACATTCCTGTAATTCCAATACTCAGGAGGTGAGGTGGGAGGTTCAAAAATTCAAGGATGGCCTTGAACTTCCACATAATGAGTACCAGGACAGCCTGGGCTACAGATCCTTTTAGAAAGTTAGTTTGAGCCGGGCGGTGGTGGCGCACGCCTTTAATCCCAGCACTCGGGAGGCAGAGCCAGGCGGATCTCTGTGAGTTCGAGGCCAGCCTGGACTACCAAGTGAGTTCCAGGAAAAGGCGCAAAGCTACACAGAGAAACCCTGTCTCGAGAGGAAAAAAAAAAAAAAAAAAAAGAAAGTTAGTTTGGCGGTACATGTCTACAATCCCAAGATTTGGGGGACTGGGACAGGAAGATCACCAGTTCAAGGCCAAAAAGCTTGAGGCTAGCCTAGATTGGACAGCAACACACTGTCTCAGTGTTTTCCAAAAGAAAAATATGTAAAGTCCATTAATCATATCCCAGCTTACTGTAACACAAATCTTTTTGACAAAAAAAGGATTTCCTGCCTATTCCCTCTAGATAACTCAAAATAATACAGAGAGCAAACACATTCGCCTATGGTTTGTCCATAGTACACTCTTCTCTTTATGTTTCTCGGTCCTGTTTCCTTCCCCACAGTAACCGCCATCTTCTGACTTAGTTATCTATCTCTTTTCTTTCACTCAGTTACCTGTCTCTAAAAGACAACCTTATTTTGTAGGGCTAAGTTATCTGAACTCTTCCCACCAATTAAGGCATGACAACTAAACATGAAAAATATAGGCAGCCTCTGAACTGGAGAACAGTTCAGTACTAACATCTTCTCAGACAAAGACAGCCTCTGAACTGGAGATGCCGACAGTTCAGTACTAACATCTTCTCAGACAAAGACAGAGGATAGATTTTACCAACAAAAAACTACAAGGGTCAAGCAACACTCTGACAGAAGCTGAAACTGCCAGGATGGTGACTCACACCTCCAAAACCACAACCCGGGAGGTGGAAGGTCACACGTTCAATGCCCCCTCAGCTACGTTAAGACCCTGCCTCAAACTAAGAAGCTCAATCTAGTGAGAAATGACAGTTAGGACTTCAAGTGTCCATCATCATCATGGGACTTGAAATGGAAGCATGGCCAAACACAGTAGTGCACATGTAACTGCTAAGTTTAAAAATGTGTAGCTAGACTGAAAGTAGGTTTCATTTTAAAATGAAAATAAACCAGAAATGTACCAGTGGGAATGTACCAATCAGGAGAGGGTGCCTCTGACATTTGAGACTGATATTAATTACAGCAACAAACAAAAACTCAAAATAAATATAATACATTACATTGATTAGATCTAGAGAACAACTGAATGGTCCTAGCAAAGAACTATTCCCAGAATTCCAATGGCAATGGACATCACTGACAGGAAAACAAAGGGTGAAAGAAAACTAGCAGAATGTACATGGACAACTAACTATGTTGGTTCCGCTATACACTCTATTGCATAAAGTAGTTTTATGATTATATTCCTGCTGAACTATTTCAGAACATTTAAAAGAAATCAGTGTCACTGTCAACAATAAAGTGGTTATCATTTATTGACATCAATTGGAAGCTAAACAAGATAAATTTGAAGTTTTCCAAATCAAGTAATAGATTTTTTTGGGGGGTGGGGGTGGTTTCAAGACAGGGTTTCTCTGTTTAGCCCTGGCTACAACTCCCTGCTTGGAGTAATTCAATCAATCAATCAATTAATCAGTCTGTCTATCTATCTCTTTCTCAACAATCTAACTACAGATAGGGTAGAATATATTTCCTTAGACCAATACAGTTAATTTTCCTAAGGGAAAACAACCCGAGGACCAGTTCTCTTTATAACTAAAAAGAGAAAACCACATACAATGTTCATTCAAAAACCTAAAATAAAAAAGGAAGGGCTGGGGCTGAGGCTGGGGCTCAGTTGAAGAATGCTTTACCTTGCATATATTACCCCCAGGGTAGGACCCCTAATGCTACATGAACTGGGTGTGGTGGTAAACACCTGCAATCCTAGCACTCAAGTGGAGGCAGGAGATCAGAAGCTCAGGGTAACCTCGGTTATGCAGCCTGAGCTGCACAAGACCTTACCAGAACAGATGGACGGACGGAGTGAGTGAAAAGAGAGTTGACTGGGGCTATAATTCAATGGTACAGTACCTACCTAACTTGTGGAGAGAGTCCTTAGGTTTAAGCCCTTAATATTACCTCCACTCCCTTCCTCTAAAACCCTCCCCTACTCCAAAGGTTCACCTTTTAGTACATTAACTTTAGTTTTACAAATTAAAGTTACATATAAACTAAAGGTCCTATTTTAAGCACCACAGCATCGTTCTAGTGGATCTCAGGATAGTTATTATACAGTTACACAGTAACATGAGTAATAAGAAAAAACAAAATTTCAGCGTTACCTGTTCAAACACATGAGGCCAAACTTGGATAGTGAATGTGGAAATGTTCAACTTTAGAATGAGAACAAGGGTCTAATGATTATTACTTCTGTGATGTCTAAAATCAAGACCCAACATTTGAATTGGAACAATGACATCTTTTCATGGCCATAAGAATATCTGCCATTTACTCCATGATAGCAAAAGTCACATCAACTAATGTTTGCAATTTTAAAAATTGTTACTGTATGTGTGAATTGGCATATGTGCCATGGCACATATGTGGAAGTCACAGAACATCTCCATGCAAATGAGTCTCTCCTTACACTTTTATGTAGGTTCCAAGGACTGAACTTAGGTCAAGCTTTTCAGGCAGGACAAGAGCCTTTACCTGCTAAGCCACCTCATTGGTCCCATTTTCAATTTTTAAAAGCAAGCAACTAACATGTAACACCAAGTTTTGTCTATAAGGTCTAATTTTTGTCATTTATGTTATCATCTATAAACACACACAGACCTCTATGCCAATGGCCACTTTTGTGGTAGGAAGCAAAAGTAACTAAACATTAGGAATTCCAGAGACACTGCCCACAACAGTTTAAGTAGAGAAAAAAGCAGCTGGTACTGTGTCGAACAGCCAAAAGGAGAACATACCCACTGTCTCCCTGAGAGTCTCCTATAGGCTCCTGATTCCAATTCCAATTCTCTGGACTCACTCACAGAAAGGAAAGGGCTAGTAAGAGGCTATGCAAACCACTTGTCACTTCCATTTTTAAACTTAGGCATAGGAATGCTCATTAAAGTGAAGAGAGGACAGTAAACATTCAAAGCACTAAAATCTTGTCTATCTGTGAAGAAGTTACCAGTTAAGTCTTTACTGATTTTATTCCTTTATGCTTTTATGTTTTTATGTATTTACTTTTGAGACAGGGTCTGACTATGTAGCTAAGTAGAATCATGATGTAATACTTACAATTCTTGTAGCAAGGCTGCCTGAATGGTTTTCCTTTTGAAAAGGCAACCGCCACTGTGAGGTACTGAAAACTGGAGATAAAAAACACGGTGGTATTTTCATAATTTTGTATTTTACATGTATCAAGTTCAGTTCCATTGAACAAATGTGACGAGTTCCAACACGCGCTTCTTGTTGTATTACAAACACTGGAACACACAAAGAGTCTATTAGGAATGCAGCAGCATCTCCCCAAGAGGCCAGTGTTATACAGATGCCTTAAATCACAATACAAAAAAGTACAATGCTATTTATAGCAAAAGACACAGCAGCAGCAACACAGAGGGCAGGCAGAAAAGTTGTTTCTTCTTTTCTTTCCCCTTTAGCTAGATATTCCAGTCAACTAAAATTATAATCAAGTAATTTTTTTAATTTTTGAAATTTTAGCACAGTGAATGTAAACAGGCCACAGGTCTGCCTTTAGTGCTCCCACTTTTAGCATCAACCCATGATAACGGGGGATATAGTATCTATTGAACATACTGATACCACTTCTTCACCTGGGATTCGCACTTCTCTGGGGGTTATGCCATAAGTACTAAGTAGGAAGACTTGTGCTAATGTCTGCCCGAGCACTGGCACCAAGATAACAACCAATGATTTTAGTTACAGCTTACTGTTGTTGAACATACACAATTAGTAATGTTACAGCAATGAACACTGATAAATGTTAAGCCTCTGTGTAAATGGACTCTGGAAAGATTCAAGACAAATTTTACCCATTCCTTTTCATGGGCAATGCCTATATACATACAAAACAGTAATATTTTTAAATTTTCTAAAAATTTCAATGATAATCTCAATAGAGTAAAGTAAAATATTCATAACTAAAGAGTTGACAAAATTATTCACATTTAATTGAGTCATCACAGTTTTTTAGCAGCAAAAGTACTTCACAAATAAACATAATACTGCCAAGGTGGTGGTGGTGGTGGTGGTGGTGGCGGTGGCGGCGGCGGCGGTGGCGGCGCTGCTGCACGCGCACACCTTTAATTCCAGCATTCGGGAGGCAGAGCCAGGTGGATCTCTGTGAGTTCGAGGCCAGCCTGGTCTACAGAGCAAGCTCCAGGAAAGGTGCAAAGCTACACAAGAAACCCTGTCTTGAAAAAAAAAAAAACCAAAAAACAAAACAAAACAAAAACCCAAAAAACAAAACACATAATATTCTTTTCAGAAATTTAAAAATAAAATAAACAGTGCTTCTTCAACTTGGGGTAGAAAAGCTGGAAGTATGACACTATACCTCTTGGACACTGATACCAATTTTCTCATTTTACAGATAAGGCAAATTGATCAAGTGATTCTAAGGTCACATCCAGGTAATGAGAAGAACTTTGCCTGTAAACCTTCTACTACAGTCTTAGAACTGTCCCCTGTAAAGTTTATGCTCAGATTCAATCCCCATTGAGATATTAAAAGAGACTGAGTGATTAGGGTTTTGCCCCAATGAGTGGATTAATCCATTTATGCAATTCACAGGTGAATGGGGCATATCAGAAAAGGTCTGTTATAAAACCCAGTTTAAATAGGTCTCTCATTGTGTGCTGTCTGGTACTGCCTAAGAACACCTCCATCAAAAAAGTCAGCCTATGTTATTTCTCAGCCAGGAGATAAGTCTCTTTTCTTAATAACTTGGTCTGTGGTACTGACTAACAGAAAACTGAGACACTCTCCTAAAGACAGAAGTTACCATGACAAAAAGGAAAAATTTATTAGGTGTTTAAAGCAAGCTGCAGGCAAGTTCTATACACATTTCAAGGCTCATCTTTTTACATTCATCCTACAAATTTTTATGATGGATTGACCAACTCACTCTGAGTACGGATCACACACTTTATACTGCTTGACCCAGAAAAAGCCCAGCGACTGAAATCCAACGCAGATGACGATCTGAGACAAGACAGAGAAGAGGAGTGCCCCGGATATAAGGCCTGAAGGTGGTCTCTGTGCCACAAGCTCCTTCCAGGCGGGATTTAAACTCACTGTATTTGAAAGGAAAGAACAAAAAGCTGTTGTCTACATTTCCCACTAAGAAAGAAATAATAAAATTGACTGCAAATAAAACTTTTAAAATTCTGGATTTGTCCATTAAGTATTTAATAAGAAAAGTTTCTAAACACTCAAGCCAGATGTCATACACATTTAAATAATCTGTAAGAGAAAAAATTTATTATTTCAAAAATGCTTCCAGTAAGTTTCACCTTTTTGCTGAAATTCATGGGAAACATTAGTACCAGTAAAAATAATAGTAACTGTAAACCAACGTGTGGTGGGGCACCCTTGTAATCCAGCACTGGGGAGGCTGAGGCAGGAGGATCATAAGTGCAAAAAACCATGTCATACCATGTATGCCATAGCATAGCGTAAAAAAACATGGAGATAGAAACCCAGTCAATTGCTTTCCCTTTAAAGAAATTACTAGTAATGTCTGAAGCAATATGAACAGAATAGTAACAAAGTAGAATTAGTACAAGTGATAACATGTGGGATCTACCAAGTTTTCTCTATAAAGTTCCTATTTATCTTTTGATAATTAATGTCAAAAGTTACACTGACACTATCAGAATTTTGTTTATCCATTAACTAGTTTTATCATCTATTAAGCATTTTTAACTCCATAATTCTCACCAGGGGTAATTTTAGCACCCCAGAAAAGATTTGACAAGGGCTCTACTTCTAGCAGTTGGAATTTTGGCAGCATTGAAGATATGCAGTAACCAATGGTTTACCTGTGTATCTGACAGTGCACAAGACAGCTCTCCACAAAGAATTATCTTCCTAAAATGTAAAGAAGCCCAGGATCTCTTCTTGGTCAAATGTGTTATTAATTAATTAATATTAATTAGCAAGTTCCTTAAAACAACAGTTTTCACTTACTTCCCAAGTACTTATTTATTTCCAGTATGGACAGACTTGTGAATTCCTATTAATTTAACAGGTCACACACCATAATAATTATTTACCTTGATGTTAATATCACCAACACTAGTAAAACTAACATTGTGTCTCCGCACACGATGAATCTACAAGGACACAACATCAGTCTTGTAATATCCCTTGAAATATCCATAGCCTGGGGCTGGAGAGATGGCTCAGAGGTTAAGAACACTGGCTGCTCTTCCAGAGGTCCTGAGTTCAATTCCCAGCAACCACATGGTGGCTCACAACCATCTATAATGAGACTTGGTGCCCTCTTCTGGCATGCAGGCAGAACACTGTATACATAATAAATAATTCTATTAAAAAACCATAGCCTGAGTTTAAAGAACATAGGTCAGGCAAATCCAGCTTTAGTAGTATTAAGTCAGGTTGTCCTCTAAAGACTAGAGAGATGGCTCAGTAGTTAAAGAACAATTGCTGCTCTTGTAAAGGAGCCGAGTTCAGTTCCCAGCTTTTCAATAATCACATCATCCATTAATTCCAGTTCCAGGAGATCCAATATCTTCTTCCCACTCCATGGGCACCAGGCACATTCATGGTGCACACACACACACACACACACACACACACACACACACACACGAAGGCACACACTGAAGTACATAAAATAAAAATATAACAATAATAACGAGGACTAAAGAGTATATGGAAGTGAGCATGCTCCATTAGAACTGATGATGTTTGTTACTCAGAATATTTTTCCAGTTGATTATTGAAAAGCTACTTTACTACAAAAAAATGGGGGGGGGGGTGGGAGAGAGCACAAAACCAAGGCGTAGGGGAGAAAAGTAAGAAATACAATAATTAGAGTAGACTGATTCACAATTTTTTGAGGAACTGCCATACTGAGTTCCATAGTAACTATACAAATTTACACTCCCAACAGCAATAGAGAAGTGTTCCCCTTGCTCCATATCCTCGCCAGCATGAGCTGTCACTTATGTTACTGATTTTAGCCAATCTGACATCTATAAGACGGAATCTCAAAGTAGGTTTGATTTGCATTTCCCTGATGGCTAAGGATGTTGAACATTTCTTTAAGTGTTTCTCAGCCATTTGAAATTACTCTATTGAGAATTCTGTTTAGATCTTCACCCCACTTTTTAACTGGATTATTTGGTTTTATAATATCTAATTTCTTGAGTTCTTTATATATTTTGGGTATTAAACATCTATCAGATGTAGAGTTGGTTAAAAAAAAACATTCCCATTCCATAAGCTGTCTCTTTGTCCAACTGACAGTGCCTTTGCCTTACAGAAACTTTTCAGTTTCATGAGGCCCTGCACTATCGGTGTTATGTTTAGCAAGCTGTCTCCTGTGACAATTCATCCAGTGCTGTTCCCGCTTTCTCTTCTATCAGGTTCAGTATATCCGGTTTTATATTGAGACCCACTTGGACTTGAGATTTGTGCAGGGAGATAAATACAAATCCACTTGCATTCTTTTACACATAGACATCCAGTTTGACCAGTACCATTTGTTGAAGATGCTTTCTTTATTACAGTCTGTGTTTCTGGCTTCTTTATCAAAAAGGTGTCTATAGGTATGTGGACTTACAACTGTCTAGGTCTTTGGTTCAATTCCATTGATCAGGAGATGTCTGTTTTTATGCCAATCCCACACAATTTTTATTACTTTAGCTCTGTAGTACAACTTGACATCAGGGACAGTGATATCTCAAGCAATTCCTTTTGTTGAGCCAATTGTTTTAGATATCCTGGGTTTTTGTTTTTCATATGAAGTTAAGAATTAATCTTTCAGGATTTGTAAAGAATTGTGTTGGCATTTTGACAGGGACTGAGTTGAATCTGTATATACTAACTCTTTAGCATATACCCAAAGTATGCTCCATCATACCACAAGGAGACTTAATCAACTATGCTCATTATGGCTTTATTCAAAATAGCCAGAAACTGGAAACAACCTAGATGTCCCTCAACTGAATAGATAAAACAAAATGGGTTACATAAAGACAATGGAGTATTACTCAGAGGCTTAAAACAAAATGACATCATGAAATGTGCACATAAATTGATGGAACTAGAAAAAAAAAAAAAAAAAACCATCCTGAGTGAGGTAACCCAGACCCAGAAAGATAAATATGGTGTGTATTCACTTGTAAGTGGATATCAGCTGTTAAGTAAATGATAATCAAGCTATAATCCACAGGCCCAGAGAGGTTAGGTAAAGAAGGCTATGGGGGGGAAAAAGCATGAATCTCCCTGGGAGGGAGAAATAGAGCAGATTTTATGGGCAGAAGGGAAGGTGGGAGCTGGGAGCCAGAGTGATCAGGTAGGGAGGGGAGATGGGGCGGAGGAAGAGAGTTTGAGGAGAGACAGCTGGAATTGGAAAGCATTTGCGAGGTGGTGTGGAAACCTGGTGCAGTGGAAACTTCCTAGAGTCTGTCAGTGACCCCAGTGAGGGCTCCTAATAATGGAGGGTATGAAGTGTGAATTGGTTATCTTTGGTAGGCAGGCAAGCCTGGGTTACGTTCGGTTGAGTTGTTGGCGGAGGAGATCCTATGGAGATCCCTAAACACCCAGGCTGATGCTAGGACAGCAGGTTGCCCTTTCAAAACTGGTAACAGGGCCCATTTGCTGAGGACAACTTCTATTCAGATCACTGAACATAGAGAGGTTGAGCTGGTGCAGGTTTGGAGCCTTCATCCTTATGTCCTAGTCTCTTTGGCATGAGAAGGTACTCTGTAGGCTACAGAAAGAGAAACCTGGACACCAATCCAGGCACAAAACTCTCCACCTACAATCTGTCCTACCTGCAAGATGTGCTGGGGCAATTGTTGCACAAAATATGTGGGAGTGGCCGGCCAACCAATGACTGGTCCAACTTGAGGCCCATGCCACAAGAAAGGAGCCCATGCCCAACACTACTTAGATGGCCAGAAACTGGAGACTGGATAGCCCAGGAACCTACAGTAGGACCAAATATGACCAATGAAATAAAATGATCCCTGAATGATATTCTGTTATACTCATAGTTTGTCCAGTCTCCAGAGAGGCTTCCTCTGGCAGCAGATGGGAGTGGGTGCAGAGACCCACAGCCAGACATTATACAGACAGTGAGTCTAAACTGAAGGTCCTTCCCCTCAGGGATGGGTGAACCCCAAGTAAAAGGGGAAGGAAAAATTGTGGGATGGAGGACACCAGGACAACATGACCCACCAAATCAACTAAGCAGGGCTACATGGGCTCACAGAGACTGAAACGGTAAGGATTGGACTGCACCAGGTCCTCTGCATATATGTAATGGCTGCTAGCTTGGTGCTTTTGTGGGACTCCTAAGAGGTGGAGTGGGGGTATCTCTGACTCTTTTGTCTGTTCTTGAGAATCTTTTCCTCCCATTGGGTTGCCTTGTCCAGCCTAATAAAGGGCTGTATTATATCTCGTTTTGTCTTGTTTGGCTGCTGTCCTGTGGAAGTCTGCTCTTTTCTGAAAAGGAAATGGAGCGGGAACGAATCTGGGGGAGAGGAGAGGGAGGAGGGAGCTAGGAGTGGAAGTAGGGCAACTGTGTTTGGGACGTACTGTATGAAAGAAGAATCTACTTCAGCAGAGAAGAAAAAAAGAGTCAGAGTAAGATAATGCGCCAAGGATCAAATCCATACTGGCTAACAGAGGATCCTCTCCTCATTTACTAACCGAGCAAGAACAGTTATTATTTGATGGTCTCTATGGTGCAAAGAAACCCATTCTGAAGGTTTAAAAAAAAGACACAAAAAAAACCATAAAATTTATGAGTCAGGATTATAACTCACTTCTAGTCTAGAAAACAGATTAGGCAAAATATAAACAACCAGTAATAAAACATACACAGGAAAACTGGAGCAGGATAAGCTACTTATAATGGCTGATACAAATTTACCAAAACTTAATAAATAATTTCAAAATTTCATATGCTTTGAAATCATGAAAATTAGCTAAATACTTACTTGTAAATACCACTACCAAAATGATTGCCAGGTCAATGAAGAGAAACTGAAAGTCTCCCAGGTTACTCAGGATCTAGAACAGCAATTGTGAAAGTTTAAGAGTGTTTTCATAGCACTTTGCCAGGCTATAATCTTGTTTTTCCCCAAGAATGACACCTTCAAAATGATACTTGAACCTGCTCAGAAACTGAAACACATTTGCCTTTGAAATTAATAACAGTAACAATCATTGCATAACTTTGGCCGAATATTAGTACAAAAAGTTTAACTTGAAAATATTCAACATTCTAATCCTCAGTGTTCTCAAATGTCAGTATCTTTAAGTTTCTTCATACTTATGTCTTCCCTTCTGATACACTCTGTAAATAGTAAAAAGGGAATGTTCACAGAGATACCTTTAGGATGTTAGTGTCAATCAGTAGGAACTCTACAGTGAGATCATGTCAACCATAATCTAATAGAGTAACCTACTGTAACTACTGTGACATTCTTCTCCACATTCATAAAGTTCTATCAACTATTACTGAAATGTCTTTCTTTTTCTGTAAATACACAGCAAAGTTAACTACAACTGTGACTATAACACAGAAGGCATACATCTTTAGACTTCAGGGCCGTCCTCAACCACATAATGAATTTGAGACTAGCCTACAAACATAAAATCCTGTCCAACACAAGCAAAACCAATCTGTACTACAGACTACAAAGAACAAAATCAGCATTTCTTCTCCACAAAGCTGTAGCCATGGGTGCAGGCTTTAAGGAACATGTGTCCCAAATTAATGGCACTGCTATTCAACTCCATTAATACATGGTAATTTTATACACACTTCGTAAGTTTCAGGTTCAATCAATGTATTCAAGATCAATGACACATGCTCAATACCTTTGGTGCCTGACCATTAAGACCATGTCTGTGTGGTACCGGTACTCACAGAATAAAGGAGAGTAACACTGAAGTACTGTATGATGCTGTATAATGCCATGAATTTAAACACACAGAAAGACGTCATTAAAGCAGCACGGCCTTCCCTGCAAATAGAAATGTTGGCATGAGATTAACAGCACCTTAAGCCTGTCCTTCGGAGCACAATTCCATGACAGACGAACATCAACATTCACAGCTACAATGAAGTTCTTGGATACCAAAAAAATTATGCCACAACACAAAAGCATCAATCTGTTATAGATCAAATACACTGCTGAACATTATAACAAGTTTATATTGCACTTTATGATACTTTACCCTATTATATTTTAAACACAAGCTAGAACAAAATTATAAACCTCAAGCCAGGAATACTAGCTCTCACATCTATATTCATTCATAGCCACTGGGGAGGCTGAGAATGGGGGATCATACAAGTTCAAGGCCATTCAGGCTACATAGTGAATTCCTGGCCAGCCAGTGCTACAAAGTGGGATTCCATCTCAAACTACAGAGCAGGTGCTAAGGGGGTGCACACATGCTAAGGGGGCTGGAGAGATGGTTGGACAGTTAGGAGCACTGGCTGCTCTTCCAGAGGATCCAGCGTTTGATTCCCAGCACCCACATGGAGGCAACTCGCAACTGCCCGGACTCTAGTTCCAGGGGTCCAGATGCTCTTTTCTGGTCTGCTTAGACATCAAGCACACACATGGTAGCGGTGCTCAGACTTCCACGCAGGCAAAACACATGCACGTTTTATTAAGGTCTCCTCAAAAAAAAAGGGGGGGGGCGGGGAATAGACAGAAAGAGAAAGAAAGATCCCAATCTCCATTACCTGATGAGGTTTGGCACGCAGGAAATACTAGGTGTCTTAGAAGTAAAGGGAGATGCCACGGAAGCTTCAAGCTCAGACAAGGAAATCCCACCATGTGCCCTCTTCAAAGCCTAATTGTTTCAAGAAAACTGATTAAATTTTGTGACTATAACTCAGGCTAAAAAAAGAACTACCAAAAAAAACCCACAAAAACTTTACTTACACCACAATCATTTGCACCATCACCGCACATCCCAACAAAGTAACTAAGAAAAAAGAAATTTAAGATTTTATTACAACTCCCATAGAAAGCAGTGGATTCTCCAGCACAGAGTCACAGAGAGCTAATGGATAATGAGTTGACACACTAGACGACCCCGACAGGACAGTCTACTGACAGCACACTGGGCTAAAAGCAGAAAGAGCTGAGTAACTTATGTCTGTCTGTACATGAACAAATGATTTTGGTGTCTTGATTTCCTGACCTGTAGAGCAAAGACTTCTCCCTTAGAAAGTTCAAACATTACTGGTTACTAAAACTCCAGAGCCAGGAACCAAGTGCATTTGTGTGAATCTATAAACCCAGAACTTGGGAGAATCAAGAGTTCAAGGCTAGCTAAGACATTGCCTTCAAAACAAAAATACCCCAAAAGTCAAATTATAAAGTCACCTCTTTCACTATACACCCACACATATACAAGTAGCACTAAGTGGACTGAGTAGGTTGAAGAAAGGAAGAAAAAACCCATGAGCCTAGGAGGCAGAAGTAGAAGGAGAGATGGGGGGATTGGAGGGAACGGGGAGTGAGTGGGGCTTGCTTATAACAAACTATAAGCACATACATGAATTTCAAAGGAAAGAGCACTGAATTAATGATCTTTGTGTAGGTATAACCTTAAGAAAGCATTGTGATGTTTTACTTCAGCTAGACAAACATGCAGGTGAGCTTGTTTTAAAAAAAAAGTTCGCCGGGCGGCGTTGGCACAGGCCTTTAATCCCAGCACTCGGGAGGCAGAGCCAGGCGGATCTCTCTGAGTTCAAGGCCAGCCTGGTCTATAGAGCGAGATCCAGGACAGGCACCAAAACTACACAGAAACCCTGTCTTGGAAAGAAAAAAAAACAAAAAACAAAAAACAAAAACAAAAGCAAAACCCATAAAGTTCTTACCTATCTTATAGGTATGAATGCCTCTCTCTCTCTCTCTCTCTCTCTCTCTCACTCACTCATACACACACACACAACATATCTCATCTGTTATAAGAAGTATTTCAGATTTTTGGAGTTTTTCATATTTTGGAATGTTTGCTTCAAATTCTATTCTGACACTCAAAAAGTTTCAGATTTTGAAACATTAAGGATGCTAAACTTATACATAAGAAATATGAATTACTATTCTGAATTTGAAAATGAAATTACAATTCATGAGGGGGGGGACCAAGAAACCATAAAAGTCCATGACTACGTACTCTACATTCTGCAATGCTTCTACCAACTGTGTCTTCTGATCCGGCGCCATTCGCGCAAACACGGTGCCATGCAGCATCAACTAGAAAACAAACACAAATCGTTAAAATGCCATTCACAGTAAGCTCATGAAAACATCCATAAATTCACAGTACTTACCTTGGGAACAAGATCTTGAAAATGTTCCAGTATCACTGAAAATGACTTTCCATTCATCGCAAAATGAAAGCGAGTAAACTGAAGATCCTCTAAGCTATCACGGGCAAGTTTAATTGGAATATCCTGTACATGAGACATTCAGAACAATATTCAGGCAGTCATACGAAGAAATATAGTTCTTATGTTCAATATACTTATTCCAAGATTGGATTCTTTCACATTATATATTATACATATCATTAAAATCTTAGGATTTGCTGAGGGGTGCCTCACACCTTTAATCCCAGCACTTGGGAGGCAGAGGCAGTCAGATCTCTGAGTTCGAGGCCAGCCTGGTCTACCGAGGGAGACCCAGGACAGCCAGGGCTACACAGAGAAACCCTGTCTCAAAAGGAAAAAAAAGCAAACACACACACACACACACACACAAAAAAACCAACAATGACAACAACAAAAAAAAAACCTTACCATTTATTCAAAAAGGAAAAAATCAATATTAAGGTTACCTAGAATATTCATTTAAAAAAAAAAAAGAAAGAAAGAAAAACTATGATTATAGGCAGTACACCTATAATCCCGTCACTAAAGAGGTGATGACAAGATCAGCTTCACTTTGAAGTGATCTGAGAACTGCTTTTTTTTGTTTCTGTTTTTTCCAGACAGGGTTTCTCTGTGTAGCCCCGGCTATCCTGGAACTCGCTCTGTAGACCAGGCTGGCCTCCAACTCATAGATATCTGCCTGCCTCTGCCTTCCTGAATGCTGGGATTAAAGGCATGCACCAGACCAAGAATTGCATTTTTACGGACTACCTGGATCGTTTACTACTGATTATGATTAAAAATGGGGTATTTGGGATTCTTACATTTTCAAACTATGGTTCTCAATTTTGACTAAATATAAAAATTTAAACATTCAGATTCTTATGCTAATGAATCAGAATCTCTGGAGTGATAGTCCTTGAGTCTATTTTCAGTTTTTGTTAATACTGGGTTTTCCTGTACCATCTTTTTTTTTTCATACTAAATTCAAATAAGCAAATTCAAAAAGACAATATAAATATTACCTCTGAGTCAATTGCTGATGATTCATTACACTGTGTCAGGGAGTCTGCATAATGCCAATTGATCTTGGCAACCTTCCCATCCTTTGGAGGTAATGCTTCAGCAATAATAACTTTATCCTGAGGTAGAATCATTCCACAGTCTCTGGCCACAGAGACAGCTGTCAACATGTTGTCACCTAATTTTTGAAATATTTAAAACACATTAAGGTTGAATATGGTGATATTTTATTTGTATTAAAATATTTGTATGTTAATAAATAAAGTTGCCCGGGGGTCAGAGCTATTAGCAAGCCATAGGAAAGCAGGGCAGTGGTAGCGTACGCTTGTAATTCCAGCACTTGGTAGGCAGAGCTGGGTAAGTCTCTGTGTGTTCAGGGATACAGCCATTATTGGATACACATGCCTTTAATCTTAATACCAATCATGGAAAACCTGGAGGCCTATACAGACAGGCTGTGAGGAGGCGGTCATGTGGTTGGGTTTACAACCAATGAGAAGGCAGGACAGGAACTCTATATAAAGACTTTAACACAGGGGTAGCTCTGGTTCGGAGAGGTAGGACCACCGCAGGAGGAAGGGTAAGGTTTTAGCTCTTAGCTCTGACCTCTTGGCTTTCTTCTTTGCATTGGTTCTGTGTTTATTATTTAATAAGAAGGTTGGATACATCTACATTTGGCGCCCAACGTGACAAGAATTCATTAAAAACCGCTTGGCTTGGCTTGGCGGCAGGTCCGGTTTCCAGCCTGGGCGGCCCGGCTGCCTAGCTTGGGCCCAGGCCTGACTGACCCGCAGCTGGAGCTACTTGCAACTGCTACAAACAACTCAGACCTGCCCCCCCTGCCTGTAAAGCCAAGGCTTGACTCGGCTCAAGCGGCTACACTTTTTCTCTCTCTCTCTCTCTCTCTCTCTCTCTCTCTCTCTCTCTCTCTCTCTCTCTCTGGATTCACACCTCGAACACCAGGTGGCTGTGAAATTCCCTGGGATTCTACTGTTCTACCCAGACTTGGTAAGTCAATTAACATATCTATTTAAAAGATAATTTTTTTCTACATTAAAAAAAAATGGGCTTTATGTGTACATTGGAAGAAAATTGGGCTTTGTTTGAAATTTTAGGCACTCTGACAATGGAACAACTATATGAAAAGATTAATATTGATCGAATTATTCAGTTTATTACTTTTCTTATCCTCATTTTACTATTTAAAAAGATCGTCAACTTAAGTGCCAGGATAACAGTCTTAGAAAAACTTGTTAAACCGGTAAAAATGAATTATAGAGAAATTCAAATTCAGACAGAAGAAATAAATAGTGAAGTTGTTTCAAAATTGGATCGTAAGGTTACAGAAAGAAAGTCAGTTTTCACACAATCACCCTTAATTTATCCAGTAGCCGTACAGCAGCTACCTGATGAAGAGAATGAACAAAATACTTGGGTTCCAGTTGAAATGTTAGACTTACGAAGATTTAAGGAGGCAATAGCATCTTATGGCATGCACTCCCCATATGTAAAGCAAATGTTAAACACCTGGTCAACTTGTAATAGGATTATACCAAAGGACTGGCGGGAATTGGCACAGGCTGTTCTTGAACCCGGACAAAATCTCCAGTGGAAAATGTGGTTCAGTAATGAGGCTAAAAATATAGAAAGACAATGGAGGGATAGCGGAATACAAGTCTGCCAGGATCAGCTTATTGGCGAAGGCCAATATGCTTCAGTACAAACACAATGTTCATATGATGTCCAAACCCTACTTCTATGTAAAACGGCAGCTTTGAATGCATGGGACAGAGTTGAAGAACCAGGAAAAAAAACTGAGTCATTTACAAAGGTTATACAGGGCCCCAAAGAATCTTTCACAGATTTCTTACAAAGATTGACTTCAGCAGTACAAAAAATGGTCCCGAATTCAGAGGCTAGTCAGATAATAATTGAATCTTTAGCCTTTGAGAATGCAAATGCAGCGTGCAAAAGAATAATTAGGCCGTTAAAGGCAAGATCTGAACCTTTGGAAGATTGGATTAGAGATACAGTTAATGTAGAGGCTTATGACCATGATGATATGTGGGTAGGAAAAGCAATTTCAAAAGGTTTGAGCAATGTTAGATGTTTTGGATGTGGAAAGCAAGGACATTTGAAAAGGGATTGTAAACAGGTCATTCCTAGAAATAATGTTTATTCAAGGAACACTGGCAACAGAATGCCCCTTCCTTCTGGAGTATGCAGAAGGTGTGGTAAGGGAAAACACTGGACCAACGAATGTAGATCAACAAGGGACAGACAGGGTAACCCTCTGCCTCGAGCTTCGGGAAACTCCCAGAGGGGCCTCAGGCAGGCCCCCACAGTAAATCCAGTTCAAACCTTTCCTGCAGTTGTAGAGGAAACCCCTACTCAAAGCAACTAAATAACCAAATGTCTATTGGAATAAATCATGTTAGTCGAGATGATGAAACAGAGAAAATAGGAAATACAGGAAAAAACATAAGGAAAATTTTTTGGCAAACTTCTATTAATGAACAAAGACCAAAACTAACAATAAAAATAAATGGTGTTTTGTTGTCTGGTCTGGTAGACACAGGTGCTGACATTACCATAATTGCACCAGAATTTTGGCATCCAACTTGGCCTCTTCAGGAGGTAAACATTCAACTCTTAGGAATTGGGACATTATCTAGAGTGAAACAAAGTGTAAGATGGCTTGAATGTATAGGTCCAGAAGGACAGAAAGGAAAATTAAAACCATATATGGCTAACATAACTATAAACCTGTGGGGTCCAGACTTGTTGCAACAATGGAATACTCAGATTAATATCCCTCCAATCCCAGAAACAAATCATAAATTAGTACATGTTTCTGAGAGAAATATTAAAAGATATTATTCTAATGAGTGCTCACCAGCCATCCATGTCATACAAGAACAGGGCACAACAACTGATAATCTTCCAAAAACATTAACAGCTCTACCTTTAAAATGGTCAACAGACAAGCCTGTATGGGTTCAGCAATGGCCTTTAACAACAGAGAAACTCCAGGCTTTACAAGAGCTGGTGGAAGAACAGTTAAATGCTCATCATATTGAAGAATCAACCAGCCCTTGGAATTCTCCTGTATTTGTTATAAAAAAAAAATCTGGTAAATGGAGAATGGTAACAGACCTTAGAGCAATTAACAAAGTAATTCAGCCAATGGGCTCTTTACAATCTGGAATTCCTTTACCTACTGTTACCAAAAGGCTGGCCTCTCATAGTTATTGATTTAAAAGACTGTTTCTTTTCAATACCCTTACAAGAAAAAGACAGAGAAAGATTTGCTTTCACAGTGCCTACTTATAATAATTCTCAACCGGTTAAAAGATTTCAATGGAGGGTTCTCCCACAGGGAATGTTGAATAGCCCAACTTTGTGCCAATATTTTGTAAAACAGCCATTAGAAGTGGTACGTAAAAAATTTCCTAAATCTATAATTTATCATTATATGGATGACATTTTATTAGCTGATTCAAATGCAGATACTTTAGAAAGAATGTTTGAAAAAGTAAAGAAAATTTTGCCTTGCTGGGGATTACAAATTGCTTTAGAAAAGGTACAAAGAGGAGATTCTATTAATTATTTAGGATATAAAATAGAACTTCAAAAAATTAGACCTCAAAAAGTGCAAATTAGGAGAGATCGACTACAGACTCTTAATGACTTTCAAAGATTATTTGGAGACATTTCTCATCTAAGAACTATTGTTGGGGTAAAAAATGATGAACTGAATAAGTTGTTTAAAACCTTAGAAGGTGATAAGGACTTAAATAGTCCAAGAGAATTATCACCTGAAGCTGAGAAAGAATTGGCCTTGGTAGAAAAGAAAGTACATGAAGGGCACGTAGATCATATTAATCCAAAGCTGGATTGCATTTTGGTTATTTTACCTTCTAGGCATTCCCCAACAGGAATATTAATGCAAAGGAAAGATATTATATTGGAATGGATATTTTTTACCAAATAAACCAAATAAAAAATTAAAAACTTATGTGGAAAAAAATCTCTGACTTGATTTGGAAAGGAAAATTGAGACTTCGTCAATTAGCAGGAATAGACCCAGCAGAAATTGTCGTACCTTTAACTAAGGAGGACATTGAAAAATTATGGATAGAAAATGAAGCTTGGCAAAAAGCTTGTAGTAATTTTTTGGGAGAAATTAACAGCAAATATCCCAAAAGCAATAGAATTGATCTTATAAAGAGAGCTGACTGGATCTTGCCTCGAATTGTGAGGAAAAAACCCATATCTGGAGTTCGTACATTTTATACAGATGCCAACAAACAAGGAAAGGCAGGTTACAAATCAGAAAATTTAAGTAAAGTGGTTCAAAGTCCTTATAATTCAGTTCAAAAATCAGAATTGTATGCTATTCTGTTGGTATTAATGGATTTTTCAGAACCTCTCAATATAGTAACTGACTCTCAGTATGCTGAAAGAGTAGTATTACATATTGAGACTGCAGAATTTATCCACGATGCTTCAGAATTAACTTCATTATTTATTCAATTACAAGATACAATCAGAAAAAGGAGTCATCCTTTATATATAACTCACATCCGATCCCATACTGGTCTGCCAGGCCCTCTAGCACAAGGCAATGATGAGATTGATAAATTATTGATAGGAAATGTGCTGGAGGCCTCAGAATTTCATAAAAAACATCATGTAAATAGTAAAGGTTTAAAAAAGGATTTTTCCATAACCTGGCAACAAGCCAAAGAAATAGTAAAGAAATATCCTACTTGTTCCTTCTACAATCAAACACCATTACCAGCAGGATGTAACCCAAAAGGTACTCAAAGGAATGAAATCTGGCAGATGGACGTGTTTCACTTTGCAGAATTTGGAAAACTGAAATATGTACACCACACTATCGATACTTATTCAGGATTTCAATGGGCAACTGCTTTGAGTTCTGAAAAAGCTGATTCTGTAATCACTCATTTGCTAGAAGTTATGGCCATTATGGGTATACCTGCACAAATCAAAACTGATAATGCTCCATCATATGTCTCTGTTAAAATGAAACAGTTTTTTGCCTATTATAATATAAACCATGTTACAGGTATACCACATAATCCTACAGGTCAAGCAGTTATAGAAAGATCAAACAGAACTCTAAAGGATATGCTAAATAAACAAAAAGGAGTAACAAAAACCCCCAGAAATAGACTACATAATGCTCTATTAACTTTGAATTTTCTCAATGCCAATGAGAAAGGAACAACAGCTGCAGAGAGACATTGGATAATAGAAAAAACTACAGAATTAAATCAACCTATATACTTTAAGGATGTGCTGACCTCAGAATGGAAACCAGGGTATGTGTTACGTTGGGGACGAGGTTTTGCTTTTATTTCTACAGGAGAAGATAAGCTGTGGGTACCATCAAAATTGATAAAGGTTCGATTTGAACAAGAGAGACCTCTTAATTAGAGGAGGTGATAGCTCATCAACTATCGTAAACATCCAATTTAAACTAACTTACACCAGTAACACATGCCTTTTCATTTAATCAGATAACTTGTCAAAAAGGAACATCCCCAAAAAACCTTGGGGAAAGGTTTTTGTTTTTGTCTTTTAGGAAAATGAAGGTTAACGAATTTGAAGAACCCTGGACAAATGAGACAACTGAAGAAAAGGAACAAATCATCTATCCTAAGAAACAGAGTGAAATGGCGTATGGGTATGTTATCTAAAAAAATTTTATGTCTTCCTAAATGTTTGTTTCTGCTTTTCTTTAAAGATTTAACACTATTTAACTTCTAATAGTCCCAGTTCAATTAAAATTTAAAGCTGACTTTGGAGTTGGAGAATGGCTCTCTCCTTCTTTAAACTCAAGCATGTTGTTAAAAGGAAAATGCAAACTCCCTGTATCATGCCAGAAGAAAAGAGCCATCTTCTGCTATGGGACAGGAGAAAAGCCAAATTAATTAAGGGACTATTCTATTACGAATCTCAACTCTTTGATTCTATTCTGATTCTTTAAACTTTTCTTAAAGTATGAATTTTATATCAAAATTTACAAGATCAATATATAGATATATATACATTTTAAACTTTGTTAAGATATAAATGGTCATATAGAGTACTAACTAATTCTAAAAAGTCGCATATATAGTCTTTGTGTTCGAGTCTCTTATCAGTTTTTTGCAGGAAATCACGGTTAGGCCTAACATCAACTGAAGTCTCCAGGAAGAAGATGGGGCCCCACAACAACAACAATTCCACGTGGACAATAATAACATCACTAAGCTGACAAACATCATCTACAGATCAGCTTTGAACTACAAAGTGCTCAGAGCAATTTTGAGAAGAGCTAGCTGAGATGATCCAGTCTCAAAGACTACTTGAATAAGGATTTGAGATAAACCCTGAATTTTGGCATTATACACAGACTGGATAACGAAGGATATATTTACCTTTCCTAGAATTTGACAACTAACCTAAAATTTTTCTTTCAGGATAAAGATACCTTCGCCCATACCCAGCAGGAAGCAATTTCAAGAATACGACGCCCACATTCCCAAAGAGGTGGTGTGGAGCGGTTGGTTTTTTTTATCTTTTAATGGGTTTTGGGTCTGGGATAATTTTCATTGATTAGGGGGGTTGGTTACAAGTTGTTGTCAAGGGTTAGGAAAAAGGCTAAGCAAAGGAGATTAGATTTAAGGTTCTTATTTAAAAAAAAAAAAAAAGAAAGAAAGAAAAGAAAAATGTAAATACTTTACATTGGATTGGATTGTTTTATATTGTATACAAATTATATATATTGAAATTGATATTGTTAGAAAATGTTATATATATTTTTCTAATTGTACCATTCATCTAACAATGTAATGCAATTTTCTGATCCTTGAATGTTATTACCAACTATTAGGATATAAAGAAATGAAAGTTAGTAGTTAGATATTATAATAGAACTTGTAGTTATATTAGGTATGTTTTCAAGATTGAGTAGATATATTTTAGATAGACAGGTTATCTTCAAACCCTTCAGAGATCTACAGAATATGGCATTTAAAATGTTTTAATAACTTAGAAAATTTTTCTTTTATGTTATGACTATGAGACATGTCGGCTCCTGGCAGTACCAATCTACTTCAGAGAAAATATGGGCATTGAAGAAACTGCATATGGAGTTAACTTTCATTGTGGCAAAAGTTAGCCACTGGACAACAAAGTATCCTCGAATCAACAGGACAAAATGGACAGACAGGACATAAAACAAAGGATTACTGATTCTTGCCAAAACAAGTGTGGTTATGGCTTTATCAAAAGGCATCTTCAGAGGCCAGGACAATATGGCACCATCCCTGAAGTGGCCTTCGCAATTCGAAAAAGGTACAGTGCCCTTTTCTTCGAAGGCAGCTGAACAGGCAGTGGGCCGATGGCCTCTGATGTGCAATGGAACAGCAGCTGAAACAGTTATTCTTGAAGAGTAACTAAGCTCACGCCTCTCAATAGTAGACTGGCATTTGATAGAGGGATATGGAGAAGAATGGGATGCTGAGATGAAGCCATATATACACAACCAAGAAGAATGGACAGCTGAATTAAAAAACCATCAACAATTTCCAGAATTTAAAATCCTGAATCATGACATGACACTAGTGGAATTCAGGTGTTTCTGGTACATGGACTACTCTCACTCAATGTGAGGTTGAACTGTTGACCTTGTGTACATCCTACTTCACAAATGAGTCTGTCAGATATGCTAAGCCTATAGGCTGAAGATGATGCCCCAGCACTTCGGAGAAACCTCAGGTGACTGTCCAGACAGCTGTCTGTTTCTGTCAACTCACAAATTTTTTGGAAGTTGCTTATGTGCACTTCCTGTTTTTATTTTTGTTAGCTAATATTATTTCCTTCTTGGGTCTCTGAGGGAGTTGAAGATTAGTTAGTTATAGTTGAAGTTTAGTTAGTTATAGTTGAAGATTAATTAGGATACATTTTGGACTTACCAAAATAGGATAGATAATGAAATTATTTTCTCTGAATTTGTCAAATACAAATGGACTAGACATTGTTTAGGTATTTATTACTTGTATATATTGTATATAGTTATTGTACTTTTGTATATAGTTTTTCTTATATTAGTTATAAGCTTTTTCTTTTTTTTCTTTTTATTAAAAAAGAAAAGGGGAAATATGGTGATATTTTATTTGTATTAAAATATTTGTATGTTAATAAATAAAGTTGCCCGGGGGTCAGAGCTATTAGCAAGCCATAGGAAAGCAGGGCAGTGGTAGCGTACGCTTGTAATTCCAGCACTTGGTAGGCAGAGCTGGGTAAGTCTCTGTGTGTTCAGGGATACAGCCATTATTGGATACACATGCCTTTAATCTTAATACCAATCATGGAAAACCTGGAGGCCTATACAGACAGGCTGTGAGGAGGCGGTCATGTGGTTGGGTTTACAACCAATGAGAAGGCAGGACAGGAACTCTATATAAAGACTTTAACACAGGGGTAGCTCTGGTTCGGAGAGGTAGGACCACCGCAGGAGGAAGGGTAAGGTTTTAGCTCTTAGCTCTGACCTCTTGGCTTTCTTCTTTGCATTGGTTCTGTGTTTATTATTTAATAAGAAGGTTGGATACATCTACAGTTGAACAGGAAACATGGATGTGAAGAATGAGTACTAGGCATCTCCTACAGCGTCTATGGCTGGCAGAACAGACCGAGAATAAAGAGGGCCCACAAGATGGCTCTGCTGGAAAAGGAGCTCTGCTGCCAGCCTGGTAACCTGAGTGTGAGTCCCAGCTCTCACACGGAAGTGGAACTGACTCCTGTAAGCTAATCTCTTGACGCCCACACATACATACATACAAACCCATAATACGGAAAAGAAGTGTAATTTTAAAAATTCTAATCTTAATTCTGACAAACACCTGGTAATCACTTTCTATTTATATGTCAATATTAAAATAAATTACAAACAATCCCCAAAATGAACAAGGCATGCACTTATTCCTCAGGATTTTATATTACAGCACAAGAAACATTTACAGATAATTCACACAAGGCAATGTACAACATGTGGTACAGGAAACAGAATAAAAAGGAACAGAATTAAAATGTTTCAGTTTCTCCTTCACTACTGTTCTATATTTTCTATAAACAGGTTTTGTTAGAAATCAAAGCAAGGATTATAGTCATCTTATTATCTTGGAAAATTATGTAGAGTTGAAATAGGACAATACATGGTAGAGCCACTAAATAATGTGTTTTCATAAATGACACACAACGTGAGCTCCACATCACACTCACCTGTGACCATGACAGTTCGAATGTTGGCTTTATGCAAATCTTCAAGTACTGCAGGGGTTTCCTGCTTTAATTTGTTCTGCATTATAATCAATCCCATAAAATCCATGTTGTTTTCAATGGCATCTCTGAAGAAAAGAATTAATACACAATGGTTTAGTTTGGCTGAAAGATTGACAGCAATCTAAAATACATAAATCTAAAATATCTTTAAGTTATAAAGTAAAACACTCACATGCTGAATGAACCACATTTGTATGTACCAGTTCACTATCTCCAAAAACTTAAATCTCAAAAATAATTTCCAAGCAATGTTTTAATATATTGAAATAAAAATTAACCTGATATGAAATACAAAGATCATCTGGAAATATCTATCTTTGTAAACATTAATCGGTTCTGGCACTAAGGCATATTAATATTTTATACAAAAGGATAAAAGCACAAATCTGTGTCCTTCATGAAATATAGCCAAATTTAAATGCTAAGGGAAGGCACACCGAGAGCTATACCAGAAGTATATTAGCTATACCTATGATGGATTCATTACAGATGTATCTTTTAGAATAGTGATAACCAAGAGTTATCACAATGTTACTCTTTCAATAACTGATTATCTACTATGCTGGTGCATATCCCTAGGTCAAATATAAAGACATTTCTCTAATAGATGTTTGTAAAAACATTCTTTAGCACTATCATGGTGACAAAGTCTGTTCAATGAACAAAACTGTGACTCTGTCTTGACTAGTAAGTCTCAAGCTACAAAACTATACCATAGACACAGTTTTAATCAACTGGGAAAGAAAGCCTTAAGTTACCAACTAAAAACTCGGATATGAAATCACCAAGTGATTTATCAACAACAGGAATGAGGTATAGCTCAGCCAGGAAAGTGCTTGCCATGAAAGCGCGAAGATCTGATCTGAATCCCCAGCAGACATGTAAGAAGTCAGGCTTGGCAGTGCACAACTGTAATCCTAGTGCTGGGGAGGCAGAGTCAGGAGGAGCCCTGAGGCTGGCTAGCCAGTTAGCACTGGTGAACCGGGCAGTTCCAGGGTTAGTGAGAGACTGACTGTTCTCAAAAACCAAAGTGGAGTGCAATAGAGAAAATGCCTACCACTGACCTCTGCCCTCCAAACACGGAGACCCAAGCACAAACGCAACATGGACAATTTCAACAATAGTGAATTATTATTATTTAACAATTGTTATCCATGAAACCTAACTGTCTTTTAAATACTTAATTCATAACAAACGGTAAAGACACTGCAGGGGAAAGAGGGAGGGAGGGGAACCCTTGAGATCTGACTGTGTTCAAAACACAGTTGAAACAATGTGAAAGTACTGGGTTAGTAAGCATTGACCAGTTAGTCTCCCACTGGGCTCTCAATTCTGGATTCAGCTGATTTCCAATGAACTTAACAACTCTAAAATGTAAAGGTTTAAATAATAAGAGAATGGTAAAAATCTGTTCCTATGAGGCAAAACACAGAGACGGTCTAAAAGAAGAGAACAGACAAAGTTAACAAGGAGGGATAGGGTATTCTGATTAAAAGAAACACCTATTCAAGGGAATGGAAAGCTCTCTGAATAGAGAACTACAGACTTAAGAACTACAGGTGACTGAACAATTAGTCTTTGAGGGACAATGGCAAAAGGTGACATTATAAGAGTAATGTGTCTTTTTCTGGAATGAGGACATACCCATGGTTTTCAGTGTGATTTGTGTATCAGTTCACTAGGTTTTAGTTTTTGTACATATGTGTTTTCCCTGCATGTATGACTGTGGTGTGCCTAGTGCCCACAGAAGTCAGACGAAGATCCTGGATCCCCTGGTACTGGGATCATGAGTGGTCCTGAGCCACCATATGTGCTAGAAACCAAACCCAGGCCCTCTGAAAAAGCAGCCAGTGCTGTTAACTTCTGAGCCCCATCTCCAGCCCCCTTGCTCTGTTTTTTTGTTTTTTAGTACATTTATATTCAGATCTCCAAAACAGGCAGAAGTATCAGGACAAACTATATTCCTTCCTGCTTACAAAATACTAAAACAGCCTAAAATATTAACAAAAGCACTGCCCTTAAAGGCTAAGTCCAGAACCAGAGAAGGGCGGGATGGCTGGTAACATCTGTCAACCTGACAATAACCTAGGATCAACTGGAGACAGGGCTCTGGGCATGCCTGTGGGGGGTTATCTTGTTGATTATGCTGAGGTGGGAAGACCTACCCACTGTAGGTGGTACTGTTCTCTGGCTAGGATCCTAGACTGCAGATATGGAGAAAAAGAGATGAGCAACAGCATGTATGCACACTTGTGTCTCCTGTGTGCATAGATAGAACTGGATGCTTCAAGCTCCCACTGCCTTGACTGCCCTGTCCTACCATAATGACTACACCTTGAACTGTGAGCTCAAAGAAATCCTTTGTTCCTCACATTGCTTTGTCAGGACTTTATTACTGTAGCCCCAGGAAAAAGAACTAAGTCAAATACAAAGCTGTATTTATACAGGAAAAGAAAAAGGTGTCAGCACTGTCATCTGACAAAATGGGAAAGAAAGCAGCAGAGAAAAACAGGAGAGAAAGACAGCAGCTATTATGACTCATGACACTCACTGCCGAATTTATATTTGGTTGCCACTGCGTGGTTTTAGGAATAATAAACAGACTCATTTATTGCTCCTAGAACATGCTTGGCACATAGTAAAAATCTGCTAACAAGCTGGAGGGATGTTTCCGTGGTTAAGAGCACATAGTCCCACTTTTAAAAGGGGACCCAACCAAATTCAGTTCCCAGCACCGACATCAGGTAGCTCACAACTGCCTGTAACTCTACCTCAAGGGGATCCAACACTCACTGCTGCCATCCATGGGCACTGCACTCACATATGCAAATCCACAGACATACAGATAACTTAAAAATCAAAATAAAAAAACAGATAACAATTTCACAAACTACAAGTACTTCCGGACTTCTAAAGTAAACAATTATTTCAAGAACATAAACTCAGGGGGAAAAAAAAAAATCAATAGAGTGGGGTGTGGTGGTATACAATTTAATCCCAGCATTGGGAGGCAGAGGCAGGCAGATCTTTGTCTTTGGAGTTCCAGGCAAGTCTGCTCTACACAGTAAATTCCAGGATAGCCAGGACTACACAAAGAAACTTGAAAAACAAACAAAAAAGAGCAATATCGAATGAAAGAAAAAAAAAAACCCATAGTTTCACCTCAAACACTAACAAAGTTACAATATACACATTTCACACATTCAACCTTTAATAAATACATAACCACGTCATTACTGTACATGACTTAGAGGAATCTAAGTGATGCACTTTGGGAACTATAGGAAAGCCATTCAGCCTTACCTACTAACATGCTGTACTTTGTGCCATGTCAGTTTGGACTCCAGTTTCCTGTGTGCGAGAGCAATCACACGGAAGCCTTGTTTGGTGTAATCTTCTAAAACTTTCTCAAAATCAACTGGAACTTTTAAAAAGAAGAGGAAATTAATTTTAGAATTGCTAACGTAAGTTCATATAAACATCAGTTTTACCCAGAGCCTAGTCATTCCCTTACCTGTTTCAGGTTTACAAAGACTGGCAATGACCTCAGGGGCTCCTTTCATGTAGGCGTCCATTTTCTTGTCCCCTAGTACCCTTGCAACCACACTCATCCGTTGTAAAGCAGAAGAAAACGGGAACTGTCGAACAATTCCTATCTCATAAATAGCCTATTTAATTTCAAAAAAGGCACAAAGGACTTATTATTCTTTAAAAACAAAAGCAAATGTACTTATCTAAGAAGAAGAAAGCATCTTCACTTACTGGAAGTTCAAACAGCTCCTAAAAACAAGAGAGTAAGTACAGATTAATATATACCAGCTAGAAAAACTAAAACATCCACAAAATACATTTAGGAAGTAACAAGCAACTCTGAGTAAGTCAGAACCTAAGAGGCCCTCAGCACCACCCATGAAAAAGGAATGCTGTCACGGTGTAGCTTCATGGTATGACCACCCAGGCAGAATGCATATGGCCCGGGCTTCAGTTCCTAGCATAGGAGAGTGGGGATAAGATGGGAAATAGTATTCAACATTTTCATAAAAATACTGACACATTAAATGCTAAAATAAATGAGAGGAACACTTAAAAATTCATCTAAGAGTAAAACTACTAAGAGTGCCTTTTTATAAATTCTTTGTATGCAATTCTAGGAATACGGATGCATACTAAAAAGACTGACTATCACACGTATGAGTGGCAAAGGACAGAGGGCACTGGGAATTTAATTGCAACATTTTACAGAGTGCCTGTAACACATCAGGGGTAACCTTTCTGATAAGCTCAGTTAAAACACGTGTATCTTCATGGATTAATACACCCGACTCCCTCTCCTAGAGGTACTTCCAAACTAGAGTTAAAGTGACATCACACCATTTCTTGGTTTCCTGCAGCTGTAGACTCTGGAAGCAGCTGTTTGGAAGGACGAACCACAGTGGGCATAATCCGGTTATGAAGTGCTGTTTCTTCTTCAGTTGCTTCTTCCAAAATCTAAAAGGAAAACACTCAACATATCAGAAAATCCCATACTCCTTTCATTTTTAAGTGGTCCATTAAAGAAAAAAAAAAAGCAATTATTATCAAAGGACATGTGAACACTAAATTATTAACATAAATATATTTATTCTAACGTAAATAAAATAAAACATAAAAAGAGCTACTCAGATACCTGGCGACCTTTGGGTGAGGGGAGAAAGACCTTGGAAGTAGAATAAAGGAGCAAATATGAAGCCTGCTGTCTCCAGAATGAGCTGAAGGCACATGGTTATTACTTTTAAGTATTTTTAGCGTATAATACAGGAATTTCCTTTCTGCCAACAAATGTGTTCACAGGTGTACACTTGTAATCCCAGTACTCAAGAATACCGAAGCAAAAGAATCAGGAGCTTAAGGCTAGCCTAGGCTACATAGTGAGCTTGAGGTCAACCTTGACTACAGGAGAGCTTTTCTCAAGCCTAGACAGAGTTCAGATATGGTTAATAGAACACTAAGTAGAAAATAGGCTGTACTGGTCAGTATGTGATTTGAGAGCCATACCAAGAAATCATAAACACCTTTAGTTAAGCTACTAGAGTCATAACCTCTTGATTTACACTTTAAAAAAAATTATGTGTATGGGTATTCTACCTGCACATGTAATCTGTGCACCATGTGTGTACCTCATGCCAATGAAGGCAAAGAGAGGACATAGGATCCCTGGGACTGAGTTACAGACAGTTCTAAACTGCCACGTGGTACTGAGAATTGAACCTAATATTATGCAAGAGAAGTCAGTGCTCAAAAGCACTGGGCCATCTCTCCAGCTCTCAACTTTACTTAAAAATTTTTTTCTGGGTAAGATGGCACAAGGGTTGAAGATGCTTGCTATGCAGGCCTGATTATTTGCTTTCTGATCCTGGGATTTCCATAGTTGAAGAGAACTGAATGCACACACACACACACACACACACACACACACACACACACACACACACACACCCCAATAATGCAGAGGGGGAAGAGAGAAAAAACAAACTTCAACTAGCTCAGCCTCAGATGATGTGCCTGGCATGAACGTGCCACCAACCTAGACAGAGCCTCAGCAAAAGTCTGCACTAAATACACACGGAAGAAAACTAAACTAATCTGACTAACTGGAGGAATCCATTAATGCAAAACATGAGGAAAACTTTTTAAACAATCAAATTTATACACTTCCACAACATACTTTCCCACATCTGACCATCTCAGAAATTGGGATGTATCTTAATGTCCTAGGACTAGTTTTAAGTCCAGTTTAAGAAGAGGGAACCACAACCAAGAAAATGTTGCTATCAGACTAGCCTGTGGGGCATTTTCTTGATTAATGATTAATGTGGGAGGGCCTGGACCCCATAGATGGTGCCACCTCTACGCAGGTGGTCCTGGGTGGTATGAGAAAGCAAACTGAAGCCAGGTGCAGGGGCGGGCACACATTGTTAATCCCAGCGCTTGGGAGGCAGAGGGAGGTGGATCTCTGTGAGTTCAAGGTCAGCATGATCTACATGAGTTTCAGGACAGCCAAGGCTTTGTAGAGACCCTGTCTCTAAAAAAAATAAAAATAAAGACAACAAACAGGCTGAGTAAGCCAGTAAGCAGCCCTCTTCCAAGGCCTCTGCTTTGGTTCCAACCTCCAGGAAGTTCAGTTTGGAGTCCCTACACCAACTTCTTTAAAGGATGAATGCCAGGTGAACTGTAAGCTCAAATAAACTCTATTCTCCCGAAACTGCCTTTGGTCATGGTTTCTTACCACAGCCACAGAAATCCTAACCAAAACAGAAATGAACACCAGGTTGTGGGGTGTGCTATGGCAGCCCTGACCATGTTTTGGAGAGGACTGTGGAAGGACTTTGGAGCTTTGGGCTAGAAAAGGCACTGAGCACTCAGAGCTCAGTGGCCAGTGGGGCCATTTATGTAATATTTTTAAATGAAGAAAATGGTTCTGGTCAGAGGAGCCGAATAATTGGCTGTAGTAACAAAAGCCCAAAACCACCTGGCAGAAGTAGTGCACATCTTTAATCCCAGCACACCAGAGGCAGAGGCAGAGAGATCTCTGTGAGTTCGAAGCCAGCCTGGTGTACAAAGTGAGTTTCAGAACAGCCAGAGATCTTACACAGAAAAATCCTGTCTCTAAAAACCAAAACCCAAAACAAAAAGCAAAGAGCAGAACCACTAAAGAGAAACCTTTGCTGGGACAACTGATGCTGGTCAGCTGGGACTGAGGAATTAGCAGTGATTAAAGAGAGACCAGAATCACTGAGTCTTCTGGGACTATTTCCTCAGGGTCAGCAGGGTGTAGTCCAGGGTGGGCAAGGCTGCATCTCAGGCTGACACCCCAAAATTGGTACTATGTTAGAATCACTTAGGTGGTGCTTGTTTTGAAGACATGAAGGGGGTCAGGGAGAACAGCTGAGGCTTGGCACTGTGGTGGAGATGGAGTTTGGGGGGAGGGGCTGGGAGAAGCTACTGGTAAAAATACAGCCCAGTACCACAGAGTCTAAGGGCTCACTCCGATACTCAGGAGGTAAAAGCAGGATATCCTCAGCTATACAGCTGTGCTTAAGATGAGTCTATGTTACAAAAAAAACCTGTTTCAAACTTACCCATCCAATGGCTTCAAACATTTTCAAATCGAGTGGGTCACCAGAAAGTACACCTTCAATTTTTGTAAGTGAATGACAAGTAGCCATGCAAGCAACGAATTGAGATTTTACCAATGTCTCGCTGCAAACATTGTCTTCCGGTAAAAGAAATCTAAACAGAGAATACACACCGAATTAGGTTTGCAAATCTCTAGACTCAAACCAATATTCTAACATCTTTTCAAATTTGTAATTAAAAAAAAAAAAATCAAACTAGGCATGGTAGAGATGACCTGTAATCCTAGCACTTGAACCAAGGAGTTCAAGGTCCAACCGAAAATTACAGTAAAATACATGAAACTCCATCTGTAATTACCTATGTTATGCTAAGTGCAGTGATACGGGCACAGAAGAGGCAGAGGCGAAAGGATCAAGAGTTCAGTCAGCCTTTTCCACACAGTGAATTCAAACAAGAGTAAGACAGTAAGAGACTGCTGTCTGAAAACCAACTGACGGCTGGGGTTCAGCCCACTGAAGGCTGGGGTATAGTTCTGCAGTAAAGAGTCACACCGTTAGCAAGAATAGGGTTGACTCTGACCCTCAGCAGCAACACAAACACAAATCCCTGCCATTAAAAAAAAAAACAAAAACAAAAACATGCAAACTATGTAGTATTTACTAGGTACCAAGAACTCTTCTAGGACTGTTATAAACCAACTCATTACATTTGCTTTGTTTACCCCAGAGGCTGGATATTGAAGTCATGACAACTGGGGGGAAAAAATGTCCAAAAGGAGAATTTTAAAATTAGAATTAGAAGAGACGGAGAGATGGCTCATTGGCTAAGAATGCTTGCTCTTTGAATCTCCACCACCCATTTAAAAAACAAACAAACAAACAAAAACAGATATGTTTTTCCCATGCCTGCAACCCCAGCATTAGGGAATTGAGACAGGTGGATCCCAAGAGAGGAATGACCCAGCCAACCTGGCTAAAATGGTGATCTTTGGGTTTAGTTAGAGACCATGTCTCAAGTCAGTAAGGTAGGAAGCAGGAGGAAAACACCCTGTGTTCTGCTCTGTGCATGTGCATCAGCTAGGGTACACACACTTGCACACTCACACATGCACCATACACACAAACATTACTCACACATCATGGGAAAGAAGATCTAGAAAGAAACAAATGCACATTCACTAAGGATTCCCAGATGGAAAGAAAACAGCGCATACGGGGAAAGGGAATAACAGAATAGTAAGAGGCTAAAAATGCACCAGAAGTTGCAAAACTATGAATCCTTGGAATCGAGAAGCAAATGAATGAAGCGAATGTAGCAAATGTAGGTCAGTGTCAGAGTGCTCGACCAGCATGCACAAAACAAGGCTTTAGGTTAAATCACTAACAAAATTTTTAAAAGCAAAAAATGAGTCCTGGAAAATAGAAAAATAACACACTGATCAGGGCAAATATTTCTGAAATATATTTCAAAGCAACTAAGAGAGAAGATTACTGGAATGAATGGGGCTTCTCAGTAGCAGTAACAAAATGTGCCAGGGGAAATGGAGTGGTCAGCCTAGAAACGGTCAAACAGCTGGGCAGGAAAATGAGTTCGCTCATCTCAGCTAGCCAGTGAGTTAGAAGCCAGCCTAAGTGAACAAAGCAAACCATCACCAGAGTGAGGAAACACCCCAGAGAAAGAGGGAAAACCTTTGCCAACTACCTCAGACATGCAAGTAACTACAGCAATTCAACACCAAAATAGCAAATCACTTTATCAATAAATCAGCTAATGAAATAAAAACAGTTCTCAGAAGAAATATGGGCCATTTGGCCAATAAATACTTGAAAAAGTGTTCAAAATCTTTTGCCTCCAAAGAAATGAAAATCACAACTATATTTGGGATTATAGCTCATACCCAGTCAGAATGGCTACCATCGACAAAACCACCAGCCAATGATGGTGAAGATGTGAGAAGAGGAGAGAGAAATCTTAAATATCTTTATTGGTGGGGACATATACTTGTTCAGCAACTACAAAAATCAGTAGGAAGGTTTCTCAAAAATTAAAACATAGAATTACCACAAAGCCCAGCTGTAACACTCCCACTCTTGGATATGGATATCCAACATAACACAGAAATTCTTCAACTTCCAGGCCAGGCATGGTGGCCCACACCTTTAATCCCATCAGAGGCAGGAGGATCTCTGTGAGTCAAAGGTCAGCCTGGTTTACATAGATAGATTCCAGGACGGCCAGGGTCACACAGTGTTAAAAGAAAACCAAATACTTTAACACCCATGTTTGTTAAGACATTATTCACATCATTCACATTATTCACAACAGCTAAGAAATGGAACCACCCACATATCCATCAACACATGAATGGATAAAAAAATGTTCTACAGGTACACAATAAAACTTATTCAGTCAAAGGAAACTTACATCATCAGCACATTTATAAGAAAATGGATGGAACAGGAAATCATTATGTAAAGCAAAATAAGCCAGACTCAGCAAGACAAATCGCACTTTCTCTCATATGAGGTGTCGAATTTTAAAATTGTGTGTATGGGTGTGTGAGTGCGCATGTGCATGTGTTTAACATGTGAAACCAGAAAAAGGTCCATGAGGGGGAGGAAGAGATCTTACGATGGGAAGAGGGTCACGTCATACATGAGACAGGGAAGCAGGGGAGAAGGAAGCACGCATCAGGAGGTGGCCTCACGGGGAGCAATGGGACAGAGGACAAGTGAGAAAAACACCACAATGAAATCCACTGCTCTCTATGCAGACTGAAGACAACTGCAGACAGCCCGGCTTGGGGTAATGGTGCTTGCCCCACAAACCTGATGGGCCACCAGGTCGGACAACCGGAGCCGGAGTTCCAGCCCCACATGCGGGAGGAAAGGAACACACACCTACAAGCTGTGCTCTGACTACATGCCCACACCTGCGCGTGCGTACGTACACACACACACACACACACACACACACACACACACACACACACACTCACAAATAAATTTTAAAAGATATCTGAAACATACACATGTATGTTTATATTTAGCAGGTATTTATTCTTGGTGATAGGTACACAGTTGTCTATTATGTTAGAATGCTCAATATGCTAAAATGTTAAAAATTAACTGGACTAATGATCTAGAAAAATCTAGCTAATATTTACCGGGTATTTTCCACTCGTTGAATTCCCCACAGATCTAAGCCATCTTCAGTAAGAGTTCCAGTCTAAAAAAAAGTACACATATACAAAGTAAGGACAATACCTAACAAAATTAAAACAAAATAAAATGCCAAGACTCACACTAAGAACAACTAAGTACATGTACACAATGCAGAGGAACAGAGCCTGAGGAAAGAAGGAGGCGGAGCTCATATACTGCCAGGGTATGAACTGTGCAAAACGTTACCTGCACAAGAAGGCACCTCCTCGTGTTAACTGTATTTATCCGTGTGCTGACACCATAAACAAAGCACACCAGTTAACTTACCTACCTACTAACAAGCAGTGGTGCTGGTGTAACGGCAGGACAGATTACTAGACAAGCAGCCAAGAAGAAAATTTAAACACCAGAAGGAAGCTAATAGTTAAAACCCAGATAAGAAAATGACCGCTTTTCTTCAACAAAATGGTTGGGGATTCAATAAAATCATAGAACATTAAATACATGTATTTATGAGTAATTAAAAAAACATAGTAAATACATATCCAAAGAGACTATTTATTACTTTAGCATTACCTAAAAATACAAAAGACCATGAAATTTTTATTTACTGCCACTATATCTTAAAATTTTTTAATTTTTTAATTTGTTTTTATGTGTATGGGTGTTTTGACTACATATACGTCTGTTCGTCCTGTGCATGCTCGGTTACCATGGGAGGCCAGAAGAGGGTACCAGATCCCCTGGAACTGAAGTCACAAAAGGTTGTGAGGGGCCACATGGATGTTGTGAATCAAACTCGGGTTCTCTGGTCCTCTGCAAGAACAGTCAGTGCTCTTAAACACTGAGCATCTCTCCAGCACCCATATCTCTTAAATTTTATTACTAACAGACACTGAGGTAGAGTCCATGTTGCCCAGATGGCCTGAACTTGTGGGCTCAAGCTATCATCCCACCTCACTTTCCCAGATGCTAGAACTACAAGCATGCGGTTTCCCTGAAAAAGGTGGGGGGAGGGATGCTGGAGAGATGGCTCACTGGGTTAAGAACACAGGCTGTCCTTCCATAGGACCTGGGTTCAATTCCCAGCACCTACATAGTGGCTCACACCTGTCTGTAACTCCAGGGGCCTTCTTCTAGCCTGTGGGCACTGCACAAACGTGTTATATAGACAAAGATGCAGGCAACACACACATGCAGATTAAACAAACAAACAAGTAAATAATGAGGTAGGAGCCAGACATGGGGGTGCATGCTTTTAATCCTAGCACTCAGGAGAGCAGAGGAAGGCAGATCTCTTGAGTTGGAGGCCAGCTTGGTCTATACCAATGAATTCCAAGTCAGCCAGGGCTATATAGTGAAAACCTGTTTCAAGAAAGAGAGGTGAGGAGTGGAGAAAAAATATTTCAAAATCTGTATACGCTAAGTAACTGGGAAAGAGGAAAACTACAAAAATATTAAGGGCAAATTAATTCATAAAGGAAATATAAACATAATTATTTTTTTTTAATTTATTTAAACATAATTATTTAAAAGTAACCCAGTAAGGATGATGAAGTCAACCAACCTTGTCAAAGCAAACAAGGTTCAGCTGTCCACAGATATTTATCCTTTGGGGACTGATACAGAAAATCCCCACTTTTTTCAGTCTTCTCTGAGCATATACGATCCCAGCAGTCATTGCAGCAGGAAGTGCAGGTGGCACAGTAATTGTAATGATATCAAGAGACTTAATAATTATTTCCTGAACTTCTTTCTACAATTAAATAAATATACATAAAAATAAATGTCAAACAGTATTCAATTTACTAATTTATGATAAAATAAACACTATTTTTGTATTTATATAAGTATATACATCCATCTATTATTGACATAACTTTTCTTCATTCAGAGATTTTGTAAAAAAAGGGCTGAGGTATATAAACGCTAACCTAGCATGTTTGAGGCCCTAGGTTCAAATCCCAATGCCGGTAGGGAATTCTTATCAAACAGAAGGTTCAGTGAGCCATCCAAACGTACTAACAGAAGAGCAGCTAAAAGAGACAAGTATTTACTCTTAGAAACAGCTGGCTCATTTGAACAGCTTGCACTCTTCACATGACTACCTTCAAACCAAGTAGAAAACCTTATCTGATACCATCTCATCCTACAAGCACCTGGACAGTCTCCATGGAAACTAGAAACCAATGAGGCATGGCCTCTTACAAGTGTTTAGAAATAATTTTGGTAAGCCAGGAATGGTAGTGCACACCTGTAATCCCAGCACCCAAGAGGCAGAGTTAGGAGCAGAACATAGCTAAATAAACAAAACAAGGTATTATCATATATATTATTTTAATTTATTCCACAAATAAGAAAAGGCTTTTGATGTATGCTTTACATCACAGAAAGTACCAGACATGCTGAAGAATTATATGCTATAACAGAAATGTTTTATACTTGTGGGTTCTGTTGTTGAGACAGGGTCTTGCTATACAGCCCAGGCTGTCCCAGAACTTTCAATTCTCCTGCCTAGGCCACCCAATATATTTTTGCTTTCTAATATAATAGAAACTAGTATCATAGTTTTCTTCAGTCACATGGGAAATAATTAAGGACCAAACCTATCAAAAGTTACATACCTTATTTAAAATGCTATTGATGATTGTGTAGATGAACCCAATGCCAGCCACCACCACAAGACACAGTAGAAACAAGTAGGCATCTCTATAGAGTTTAAAGTCAGTTGGCTTGGGATACAGTATAGAACGAACAAGCTGTCCTTTGGAAGTACTAAATCCTGTTCTAACTACTATGGCTTTCACAAGTTCTCCAGTGTAGAAACGGGTCTGAATAACAGTCGTCCCACAGAACAGTGTGTGCCGCTTGTGTGTCTCTGGGCTATAGAGCTCCTCCCCCGTTCCTTTTACATCCACTGAAGGATTTGGCAAGTTAGTCTTTGTCACTGGAACACTTTCGCCTGTTAAGAAAATCAAATATTAAAAAAAAATCAATGTCAAATACATATTGAAAAGAGTGAAATATTTGAAATGTTAATAGTACTGTTTATAATAGTTAATAACTAACTGCTCTGTATATGGACAGTATAGTACAATCAATCATCTTTTTTCCACCAATTGGTTCACTGAGAAATACCAAGCTGTTCCCCACAGTAATTTCAAAGTAATTCATGTTTCAGAAATAATGCCTGCCATTATTTGAAAATTGTTTTTACTGACCTTCAAAACACTTCAAACACCAAAGAAAACATACTTAAGCAGAGCTAAGAAGTACTGTTACTATCAGTAACCAGTAGTGTCATGACATCTTTAATCCCCAAAAGACAGAAAATATCTCAGTAACACAGAAAATTTGGGCAAGAGAGAAAGAAAAAGAATGAGTAATATGAGGTTCTTTCTTTTTGTCATTTAATTCTCTATAACATTCAAATCTCTTCAAAGACAGCAAGAATGTAGAAATATGTGTGACATTGTGTGTGTGTGGTTTTTGGTTTTTTTTGTTGTTGTTGTTGTTGTTGTTTTGGTTTTTTTTTTTGGTTTTTCGAGACAGGGTTTCTCTGTGTAGCTTTGCGCCTTTCCTGGATCTCGCTCTGTAGACCAGGCTGGCTTCAAACTCACAAAGATCCGCCTGGCTCTGCCTCCCAAGTGCTGGGATTAAAGGTGTGCGCCACCACCGCACGGCGACATTGTGTGTTTTAAGCCTCTAAATATGTAGGAAATAATTTCTAGCCAGATTATAATTTAAAAATACACAAATTAAAAGGCAGACAGATCTACTTCTAGATCATCCATTTCCAGTAGAGTTACCTTAAAGTCTACTTCTTCCCAATTACAGAACATAAAGAAGCAATCTTATTCCCACCTTTCACTTAACGACTACAGAAGCAAATACACTGCAGTCTCTGCAGGACAGGACTCTTCCCTCTGCCCTTACTAGAACCATTTCCCTATGTCCAAGGAGTGGCAAGAAACAAGTCTAGGAGTATGGTCAGTACCGAAGTAGTGATTTAGCATTCGTTTTCAGCTCAGAATGTAGTATTCTCACACACACAAAATCACTGTCAATCACATTTATGAGTAAATGGTATGATTTTGAAAAAGTTTCAACAACTTAATATTAATAGCATCATAAATAGTAATCTTGATACTGGTGATTCTATTTACCTGTTAACATGCTTTCATTTACAATGCAAGTACCATTAATAAGTACTGCATCACAAGGCATGACTGTCCCATTTAATGGAATGATCATGACATCACCCGGCACAAGGTCTGTAGAAAAGATTTCTTCTATTTCTGAATTTGAAAAAAAGTTAGAAATTATTCTTCAGTTTGGAATAAAACACAGCAAATAAACTAATGACCTATCCAAAAGTCTCTTGTTCTCAGTAAGCTACTGATACAGTGGGTTAATACCAAAACTGTTACACATGGAGAGTCTCAACAAACAGGACTACATTAACAAAGCATCAAGGCTGGAGAGATAGCTCAGGGGTTAAGAGCACTGGCTGTTTTTTCAGGAGACCTGAGTTCAATTCCCAGCACCCACATGGAGCCTTACAACTATGTGTAAGTCCAGCTGCAGAGAATCTGACCCCTCCTCTGGCCTCCATAGGCACCAGGCATCAGGTGTATCAAGCAACTTGTGTCCTGACAAGATGCTGACTAAGCACAGGGGATAGATAGTGTGGCCTCCTGGAGATTCCTTCCATACACAATTTTTTCCATACATTAATTTTGGCTGTCTGCCATCTTAAAGTACAAGCCTAAGTCCACACAGGAAATTCTGTTGAAACAGGCAAAAGGAATTCAGATTTCTGTAATTCCACAGAAATAAAAGAAAACATGAAAAATTTACCATGTTTTCTTTTCAAACGTATTCTTTTCTTACTGTAACTTCTTATGCCTCATCCTTTCTCAATGTTTTAGTCCTTTTAAATTATTAAAATACAGCAAGTTGAATTTATAAAATATATAATATCATTTGATACATTATTTCCTTGAAAACTTAAATCAGGCATTTGAAATCCCAGCATTGAAAAGCCAAGACAATCACGAATTTGAGGCCAGCCTGGCAAGACCCGCTTTCAGGTTTCTGTACATGTAGAGAACTTAAAAACCTTCAAGCTGGGTATGGTGACTCTTTCCTGTAAAAATATCAAAACTGTTGAGCTGTCTGGTAATCCTAGAGCTTGTAGCAGCAAGATCAGAAGTTCAAAGTTATCTCCCCTAAATAACAAGGTCTAGGCCAGCCTGTGTGTGCTGTTAAAATACAGAAACAAAACACAAAAAACTTTAAAACGAAACAAACAACAAAAAATAATCCTACCAAAAATAAAAAGGATGGCAGCAAGTGTGGGAGCTTCTACTGGGAAGTGAGTGGGACGGAAGCAAGGAAAGAAGGAAGACTGAATCACTTGGCTACAAGTCAAGAAAATACGAGCCTGAGGGCATGGTTCATACCTGTAATCCCAGCTACTTAGGAGACCAGGGTTGCTAATTTAATAATCCTATCTCAAAGAAGAAAGAAGAGAAAAAGGTGGGGGTATGTGGAGAATATGAAAAATGAAGACTGATTTTGAGTTCTGGAGAAATCAAAGTGGCTACTATATTATGCTATCTATCCTTCACTTCTTCAATGGACAGTTTCTAAGTTTCAAGCATTCTCCTTCCTACAATCATTGTTTCCTTTTTACTATGCACCATGTAACAATGCCAACATCCATCTACCCAGCTGCACAGATCAAGACTTCAATTATCACCAAATCTTGTTCAATGCCCACATTTCGAACCCACGTCCTTTCTTGTTAATGCTACAACCCTGTTATTGATGCCGGTGATGATGTCTTCAGCATTGTTCCCTGATAACCCTGTCTAAACATGGAAGCCAGAATTACTGGTTTTTGCAAAGGACAAACAGGATGGGATCTGCTTAAAGCTCTTTGGTAGCTTTCCAGCCTTTTGGACGCATCCAAATCCCTTAGAATTCTTCATCTACTTTCAGCACATGCCTTGCTGAATTCCAGCTTTTATGAAGAACACAGCCTTAACTTCTGGTCCCTGGGTACTTACCCTCTCCTCCTCTTACCACTCCTTACCCATCTTCAACTTGGCTAACTGAAATCATCATTCTTAGACTTTAAAAACCTCACCCGAATACTTAGAGTACTAGTGTTAAGGGCTCACTGTGCCCTCACAGCACTCACCACATTTTGTTGTTGTTTATCATGTTTTCCTAGAGTGTAGCAAAGTGCCTTTACACTGTACAACAAGATATTTACAACGTTATATAAAGGAGTTAACTGCCCACAAATCCAGGACTCTAAATGTGTATTTCCAATTCTGAAGAAGGAAGAAGGGGAAGTGAGAAGAAGTAATAACAGAGTTTGTGAGATGGGACAGAGTAACGGTGCTTGCCACCAAGCCTAATGACCTCACTTCAATCCCAGATAAATCCCACGTGGTAGAAAAAGGGATTCCCATGGGTTGTCTTCTGACCTCCATACATAGGCCACTGCGCGCACACACACACTTAAATAAACAAATGCACTTTTAAAAATATGCATATGCACAGACCAGATGGTCTTACTTTACACACGAGCATTTAATCGGGTGTTCTGTGTTCATTCACTCTGAAGTCCTTACCTTCATTTACTCTACAGACCGAAACTCTCACCGTACTGTGAGTTGCCACCATGTCATGTAACATAACATATTGCTGAAAGAAAAAAAAGAAAAAAACTAATAAAATACAAATCTGTTACACAAGATACCTGAAGAAAAAGAGAATACTCAATTACTGTGATTATTTTTGACTGTTCTGCCTCTATAAAAGGTCAAAAGTCAAGGGATAGGGAGATGACTCAGTGCTAAGTGCTTGCTACTTGTGGTGATCTGAATGAAAATGGCCCCCATAGGCCCACAGGGAGTAGCCCTATTGGGAGGTGTGGCCTTTGGGGCTTCAGATGCTCAAGCCAGGCCCAGAGTCGCTCTCTCTTCCTGCTGCCTGAAGATCAAGCTGTAGAACTCTCAGCTACCTCTCCAGCACCATGTCTGCCTGCACGCCACTGTGCTTCCCGCCAGGACGATAATGGACTAAACCTCTGAACTGTAAGCACCTCAATGACATGTTTTCCTTTCTAAGGGTTGCCGTGCGTGGTCATGGTGTCTCTGCACAGCAATAGAAACCCTAACTAAGACACTACTCAAGTTCAGATCTGAGCACCCAAGGGAAAGCCAAACAGGCATGGCAGCCTGACTATAATCCCAACACTCCAAAGTCCAAGACTGGATTCCTAGAGCAAGCTGGCTAGCTGAACTAGTTCAGTAAGTGGGCTCTGGGTTTAACTGAAACCCTGCCTCAATGAATAAAGCAGAGAACAATCCAAGAAGATACCCAGTATCAAAACGAGGCCTCCAGGCACAACTGCACTCTCTTACATGTGAACACATCCATGCACATACCCAAAAGTTAGGAATTCAAGAATTACTGTTCTAGCTCAAAACAAAGAGACACTTTAAATGAGGCAGCCTTGACACCAACAGAACTATCTTTTCAACACTTTAGTCTTTAATACAGACGCCTATTGCTTCTGAATAATCATGCGGTAATTTGATTCTAAAAACATCTGCCTAAGAGTGTAGCTCAGTGAGCATGTGCAGTCATAGGTTCAAACTCAAGCACCACAAAAAATAAGTATTTGGTCCAGCCACCCAAAAAAAGAAAGAGAAAGTCAGGGCTGAAGAGATAGCCCAGTGGTAAAGAGTACTACCTACTCTTCCAGAAGATCCAAGTGGATTCACAGCACCCACACAGTGGCTCACAATCATCTGTAACTCTAGTCCCAGAGGATCCAATAATCTCTTCTGGCCTTTGCAGGCACCAAGGACACTTGTGATGCATGGACATAAATGCAGACAAAACACCAGTACACATTAAAAAAAAAAAATGTCCAAAGGCCAAGCATAAAGCAGGAGGATTAGTTAGGCTACCCTAGCTACCTTGTCTAATCGAATAAACCAAAGGATGTTTGTATGTTTACTTTTGCAAATATAACATTAAATGTACTTTATACGAAGTACTATGCAGTCTAAAAACCTTACAAGTTATTACAAAATGAAAATATATTTATGAAATATGTAATAAAAATTCTGACTTACCTTCCTAATGGAATATAGTGAGCTTATAATGGATACTATGGACATAATCACAATGGCTAGAGCATAGTAATAGTATTCATCAATGCTCCACAGGATAACACTGAACAGCTGGAAAATGTAAAATGGGTTGAGAACCTAAAAAACACAAAAAAGGATGCATTAGTAACCAAAACTGGAGTAAAATATGTATAAACATGGAGATTCTCCACCACTTCCCTAGAGAAGCAGACAACCAGATACTTAAAGGATAAGCTCTGTAGTTTTGCTTCCCAATAAATAATAAAATTTGAGCCAATAAACTTAAATTATTTGCATTCATTTAGATTCACACTTAACCCACATTCAGACTCAACTCGAAAAAGCTAACCTGCATGAATTTAGGTGTTCTGCATTATACTTAGTTAAAGTATAATTTATTTGTAATAAATTCTGTTTTCTGGGCTAAAACACAAAACTTTTAATAAAACAGAACAAATGTTTGCTTTTAATGAACTCAAAAGAGAAATTTACTTACATTTCAGAAGTTCTCTGACATACAAAGAAAAGATAAACACGTGGTAATAGGGAAACTGCCTCGCCATCTCAAAAGTAAGACTAGAAAGCCCTGGTGATGAACTTTATGAAACGGTATTTCATCTTCCCTCATTTCCTCCCAATGTCCTCACAACTGCTGCTTTTGTGCTTTTCAAAGCACTTTCATGCATGCAGTACCATTTTACTTCAAACCCAAATAAAATATTAACAAATTATTCACCGGGCAGTGGTGGCGCACACCTTTAATCCCAGCACTCGGGAGGCAGAGGCAGGTGGCTCTCTGTGAGATCGAGGCCAGCCTGGGCTACAGAGCCAGATCCAGGAAAGGCACAAAGCTACACAGAGAAACCCTGTCCCGAAAAACAAAAACAAAAACAAGAAATTATTCTAACTTTATCTATAAAGGAGTAGGTAGAAATGTTTTCTTTAAAAAAAAAAAAATCAAAGACAGCTAATAAGATACTCTCAAAGTATGGGGTTTCCTAAATTTCTTTCTTTTTTTGGGTTTTTCAAGATAGGGTTTCTCTGTGTAGCGTTGGCTGTCCTGGAACTCGCTCTATGGACTAGGCAGGCCTTGAACTCAGAGATCTGCCTGCCTCCAGAGTGCACAACCACTGCCCCGAACTTTTTGTTTTGTTGGCTCTAATTTTTTTAATCAGTACATTAAACTATTTTTGCAGGCAGCATCAAATGGTTACTCTAAGAAACTGGTGAATAACAATCATATTTCTAGTAAAGTATCCACCCAATACAAGTTTTTTTCTACAGCCAAGAACCAGATCCAGGTCTGGCAAGCCTTCCTAGGCAGTTACTCACCAACTTCCTTTACTGAGTCCTAACCCTTTATTCACACAACTACGGCAGCTATAAATGACCCTCACTGCAAGAACTGCTTCGTTTCCAGTACTGCACCATGTGCAGGGAAGAAAAGGACAGAAGGAGCGACAAGTTACATACACCGTAGGACAGGCCGAGCTGTAGATGTGTGACACACACACACACACACACTTCTATACAATAAAAACAAAAGTACACATCCATGACAATAATTTTTTTCCCATTTTTACTTTCCACGTAAAATATGAAGCAAAGTTACAGAGCAGAAAACCAAGGCTATCTTCTTACACATGACTCTTTTCCAATTGATGAATCTACTGCTGAGTTATATACAATAGTCTTACCTCTTTAATTAGAAGCTTAAAAACAGAAGGCACTTTCACAGCAATTTCATTTACTCCATAAAGCAACTTTCTATGACAGAAAAATACAGTTAACTATATTAATACTGATTTAGAAAAAGAATTATGCTAGATATAATTAAAGCCAATCATCCTTAGATTTATGTTTTTAAAATCTTATGTTCCTTCGCTAAAGTTCTCTACTTTAAAAAATAAAAAAGCTGCTAGGTGGTTGTGGCGCACGCCTTTGATCCCAGCACTGGGAGGCAGAGGCAGGCAGATCTCTGTGAGTTCAAAGCCAGCCTGGTCTACAGAGTGAGCTCCAAGACACCGAGGGATACACAGAGAAACCCTCTATTGAAAAAAAATAAAAATAAAAAAGCTATCTGTGCTATTTAAATCAAAGCAGTCAACAACGGTACCAAACTTTTAGCAGTTTACAACATTTTGACTCCCATATTTACTGTGACAACTATCTTTCTTACTAGTCAATAATCACGTAAGCAAAAGACTCATTTTGTTATGTTTAGGCTGTCCTGAAACTTAATCAGGAGTCTGAAGACAGCTCATGGGAGAATCCTCCTGCCTCAGCTTCCCAGGTGCTGGGACTATAGGTGCAAGCCACCACAACTGACTAAAGTTCTCTTCTTGACAGAGCAAAAAAAAATTCTGAGATTTCATTTGTATTCCACGTGCATGGGTGTTTTGTCTGCCCGTGTCTATGCACCATGTGCATGCAATACCCAAGGAGGCCAGGGGAGAGCACTGGGTCCTCTGCAACTGCATTAAAGACAGTTGTGAGCTGCCATGTGGATGCTAGAACTCATCCAGGTCCTCTGGAAGAGCAGCAAGTGCTCTTAAGCACCAAGACATCTTCTCTGGCCCCAAACAGAGCAAACTGTATTAAGATTTAACTTACAACTAGCTTTTTTAAGAAATCAAGTATGTTTGAAGAAGAATCTTACCCTAATTTTTTTCTAGGGAGAATATTTTATTAACAAAGTTCATTTCAAAACACTGCACATTTGAAATCTTTTAGAAAACAACAACACTTTCTTAAAGTTGCTTAGAGGCTGGGGATGCTATGATTGCTGCTCCAGTATCAGAATGGCTGACAACCATGCACAAGACCCTGACTTCAATTTCACAGGACTGCATAAAACAAGCACAGTGTGGGACCTCCCTGAAAGCCCAGCACTTAGGAAGCAAATGCAAGATCAGGAGTTCAAAGACATCTACCCTTGGCTACACACTGAGTGAGGTCAGGTTTAACTATGAGAGGCCTTGTCAAAAACAAAACCAAAAAAAAAAAAAAACACCAAATAAACAAAAACCAGGGGGTGGGGGAGCATGCCTCAGTGTACAGTGCTTGCCTAGCCCGAGTAAGGCCCTGAATTCTACCCTATCCCTGGCCCCTCTAAAACCCCCAGATTCTTCATTTTAATCTCTTGTGATTGTATACTATTATAACTGTAGCCTTTTATAAGGTGTTAAGTCTGAATGATTGTTTTGTTCAAACATTGAAAAACACGGTACAGTAGTACAAAAAATTCTAATTCTATAGAAAAACTACATTTATCTTTAAAATATGCAATACACTGGCATATTTTTATACTTTAACCAATAACACAAAAAAAGCATGGCTCCCTGTTTATAGCTTCCTGGTGAGAAATTCCAGCTCATGCTTACAATTCCCATTTCAGAAACTCTAAGGTGCTGCTAATTTATAGAACACACCATTATGTGTGACTGAGGATGACACTCCACCCACTACACGACACCTCCCAATTTCAAAGACAGGAAAACGTGGGAAATTTTGTATCTTAGAATTGATGAAATAGTAAAACTTTAGGGATATGAGTTTAACATTTTTATAATTCTTAAACTAAAGGAATTTTGCTCAAAATATCACTAAGGGCACAACTAACCGTCTATTTGATTGAAGTACCTACATTAGAGAGTTGGCCATACACACACGCGTCTAGATGTAGGTAGGAATTTTGATACAGATCCACTTGAGTTGGGTAAAGTTACCTGTAGGCATGCATCCCCTTTGTCAGTCCTGCACTATGCTTTTCATAAATTGATGTACAAGAAACACCTTCATCCAGTCCCCTAAATAAATCCAAAGTTTTTACTTTAAACAAAGTTTAAAATATCCAAACTTATTAATGCCTCATTGTGCTATATTCGTGGCTTTAAAACTGTAACTTCCTTAAAAACTTCTTAGAAATTCTTAACAACAACAACAAAAACAGAAATCATGAGACTTTTAAAACCTCAAAGTCTTAAAATAAAACAACAGTGAATGGTCAAAGTCTCAAACGTAACTGTGTTGTTCACTGTACTTGTCACGGCTCTAAATACTTACTATAATAAATAAATGGACTTGGTAGCATTATCCTTTAACAGTTTCCGAAGCTTATGAGTCAACAATAAAACTAATAAAACTTAAGATAAAGTATAACTGAGAATTCCAAACTAAAGTTTTTTTAAGTTTTTATCCTGTTTCTCCTTTATATTTTTAGTTTTAAATTAAGAAATCCTTTCATTTTCTTCCATAATGCACAAACATAAACTCTTTCCTACATACCTAATTTCAAAGTATAGAAGTTATGATCATAAATGTCTAAAACCTAGAGCAATCCTAACTATGATCCAACTAACATATTTACTTTTCCCCCTAAAAAAAAATCATAATTATATTTAACTTAACTGATACCAGCCAAACATCTCTAAACCAAAGAGAATTAAACACATTATTAATCTACATATTCTCTACATTTTACATATATGAAAACTAAGCTCCATAATTTGTTGATATCATTAGGGTAAGCTCAAATCTTATAAATTTCAATGGCTGACAGAGACCAAACAACAATTATATTAGACATTCTTCCCACCAGAGCTGATGACTTCTCCAGAATGCAGCACACAGAGAGACTAGCAACTAAGTGTTTAACAAGACTGCAGGACATTGGCATTTTTCCTTAAAGCAATGGTTCTTCAACTTTAGAACCAGGCATGAAAAAACCATCAGGCCCATTCCAGAACATTCTAATTCTTTAGTATTTCAGGTAAGCATTCCAGGTATTAACTTAAATCTTGATTCTTCTTTTTACTGCTAAGACTTACAAACTTCTCTGGCATTCTAAAGCAATGGTATTTAATGAGTGTTTAAAATAGTGAATAATAGCAAAATAGAATCCTTAGGGGGCTAAGACAGGAAGCTGGATACAAACTGAGCAAAATAGCAAGACCCCATCTTTCAAAAAAAAAAGAGTCTAAAACATAGTAAGTATTTATATAACTTGAACTCTCCACACAAAACAAAATAATGAATTACTCCAATTTGTCCTATCCAAAGATAACACAGTTGCCAGTGTTCTTTCTCATCAAGACAGTAAAGTTTTCTAAATATGTATTACATGATTCTCTTATTACAAATGCATGGGACTAACAACATAGGAAGAAATAATTCAGAAACTCTAGAGAAAAGTATAGGGGTTGGGGAGTGGGGCTCAATGGGAGAATCACTACTTATTAGCATTTGTGAGTCCCAGATTCAATCCTTAGCCCAGTGCACACCAAAAACAAAGTAAATCAAAACAACAACAAAAACCAGGTAGAAAACCTATGATGTGAGGTATACTAAAATTTTTCATGCACCTCAGCCTCCCACATTGTTGGGATCACATGCATGTACCACAGGCAAGCACTTAGCTTTCTTCTAAATTTTATATAAATTTTTCCAAAGTACAAGTTGCAAGTCAGACTTACTTTTAATACATGAATAAAAGTAATGAAATAAAAGGTTTTTTTTACTTTATGTAACATTAGAATACAGTCTCTTTTACTAAAGCATTTTCAAGATAGTCATAGTCTAAGCAAAAGAAAGATACTTACCTTAAGAAATCAAAATTGTGAATGGTATCATTCCAGAAATATCTTATGCTATGGTGGGTGAAATAACGCATCTGTAGGACACACATAAATATTACATCAAGAGGCTTATCATCACTTCCTATAACACATTATTCATTTCTATTAAACCTAAAGTTTTATTTAATGGCAGATATTTTACAAAGCATGTAATTTTATCAAGCAGTAACTGCAAATGCAAAATTATGATCTATCTTTAATAATGTTGAATGTTAACTACAGTTTAAAAAAAAAACTTTGATATTCCATCACAGTACCTGTTGTGACTGAGTCTGTGAGTATTTATTCATCTCGCATCTACTTTCTTCTGTTAGATTCTCAGCTAAATGAACAGCATGGCCATTAGAAACCTTATTAACTAAAGATTTTGCATTAAAATTTGGTTGATTTTCCAGGGGAAGAAAGCGAATTTTTGCACAAAACCACGTTCTAAATTCGTCCTTGGAAAAAAGGGAGAAAGGTCAAGTTAATTATGCATATTAAATAACTACCTGTATTTTTATGTAAATCCTGTTATTTAAAAATTTAGTTATCTCTTGCTGACAAAGTATCATTTCCTACTCATTTAACATGAAAAATTTCTGATCAACTTTAGCACACTACCAATTCCTTAACTTACTCACATATATACTGAACATTAACTATTATGACCCCTTATAAAATGTTTTCAACTAGGTTTCTAAACAAATTGCTTGAGATGTAACATCATACAGTCAATAGCTGACCTAATCACTGAGGGGTCTGATTATCTATAGTCCTAAAGGGCAGGAAGACAATTAAGTATCTATCTAATAATACCCTGAGTCATAGAGAGCTATAAGATAGTCTCATTAGATTTAAGACTTTAGCTTTATCACCGAACAGTATTCACATCTAAGCCATACCTGATAAACACTAAACATTCCAAAGTCCCAGTCACTTATTCTGAACAGATTATTAGCTACTAGCAAATACGTGCACGGACTTACAGTAGTCCTGAGCAGCACCACTTCACAGTCTTTAACTGCAGCTTTAATACATGTGGCTTTCACTCGCCACTCAGGCATCCAGTAGAGGAGGAGAAGGAGAAACCCACCAGTACAAATCACTCCTACAGAAACCATGGCAAGCTTCCAGCGGCAGAAGTTATAGCCATGTATCTCCTGCACAGAAATGGCAATCACATGATAAAGGGGAAATGATAAGGCAGATAAACTAAAACTTGTTTCAAAGATACATAGTAAATCGTGTATACATTTTATGTGTATGAATGTTTTGCCTATGTGTCTGTCTGTATACTGTGTGTGCAATACCCTCAGACCAGAAGGGGCTCTGGATGCCCCCTGAAAATGGCATTATAAATGCTTGAAAGTCTCCATGTGGATGCTGAGATCAAACCTAGGTCCTCTAGAAGAACAGTCAGTGCTCTTAACCACCAAGCCAACTCTCCAGCTCCATTCCTTGTAACTTTTATCATTTCATTATTTTAAAACTTAAGTCTTCCATAGGTTTTTACAAAATGAAGCTTTTATTTTGCAACCATTTTAGACTTACAGAAAACTGTAAAGATATCAGTGTTTCTTACAGACCCTTTCGTCCTGTTTCCTGTCAAAACCACACTGCTCCATTTCGATCACGTACACTTGGTGTTGGATTGCAGTTTTTCTACTTACACATTGTTTCATGACACTATATTCCCTGACTGAGCAACTGAGACATGGTCATAGACTGCCGAGATGGTCCAGACATTAGAAGTGCTGGCCATGATACAGGGTCTCACACAGTTAAGTGATGTACCCAAGGCTGGCCTCCAACTTAGCATCCTCCTGCCGCTGCCTCCTGCATTCAGGGTTACAAAGTATGTGTTACCATGCCCAGCACCACATTACATTCAGATGTTTGTTTGTTTGTTTGTTGTTTTTTAAGTGACTTGCTCACTGCTCCAATACCACTGTAACTGATCAACTTCATTCCCTAACCCTAATTATTTGAAATATTCTTGAATTCTTACCCACAGTGGCTGCCAAATAAAACATTTCAAACTGCTGAAGGCCTAGTTAAGTGTACATTTCAAATAAGCAGTGGAAATTTTTGTTTATTCTATGGCAACATCTGAGATATACTAAAACTTAGTCCTTAATGTGGTGGTGATACACACCTCTATCTCAGCACCTGGGTAGCTGAGTCAGAAGAGGGTTGTGAGCCTGAGGCCAGCTTAAGCTACAGCAAGGAGAAAACTTTATTCTTTGATTATCTTAAAAGCATCTTGACAAAAAAAAAAAAATGAGACTTTTTGTTTTAATTAAGCTAATTTTTTAACTTTATAAACCACAAATAGAAATCTTTGCTTGGGGAACCAGCAAGATGTATCAGAATGAGTGTGCTTTTGCCATGCATGCCTGCTGACTTGAGCCCTAAAAACTAAAAAGCCCTAAAGCCCAGAAAAACTCCTAAAAGTTGTCTTCTGACCTCCACCACACGCACACCACGGCACACATGCACCTACATGTACACACAAAAATAATAAAACACACATTTTAAAAAATTTAAAAATAAATTAACAAGCCAGGTGGTAGTCTGGTGAGAGCTCCACCTCAGCCCCTGGCACCCATATACCCAAAGGGTCTGGAATGTTCTGGTGGAAGGTCCACTTCAACTCCCCTCCCCAAACTGGCCCCCTCAAAGTCCACCAAACAGCAGCCCCTCCCCTAGAGCTGCCCTCCCATTCCAGACCCCCCACCCCCTCAAAGCCCACCAAAAGCCCCTCCCTGGGGCTGCTCAAGGTCACACCTACAGGTTACTAAGGCCTGGTAGCCATATTAGACATGTGATCCCTCCCCTGCCTTCCAAGGGTCACCCAACATTGCTTTACTTTGCTCATTAAACCTGGACTTACTAATTCAGTTTGATTTGACTACATCAGCGGCAGTGGTGGACACCCAGCAACCAGGAATTCAACTTATCAGGTGGATCTCTGGGTTCAAGGCCAGCCTGGTCTACAGAGTAAGTTCTTTGTTTAAAACAAACAAAATACACACACATGATTGGCTTGATCTGTTTGGGAGGCACCCAGGCAGTGGGACCAGATCTTGTGCTCATTGCATGAGTTGGCTGTTTGAAACCTGGGGCCTATGCAGGATTGTTTGGCTCGGCCTGGGAGGAAGGGACTAGACCTACCTGGACTGAGTCTACCAGGTTGACCTCAGTCTGTGGGGAAGGCTTTGCCCTGGAGAAGATGGGAATGGGGGGGGGGTTGGGGGGAAGGTGAGGGGGACAGGAGGGGGGAGAACAAGGGAATCCGTGGCTGATATGTAGAACTGAATTGTATTGCAAAATAAATTAATAAAAAAAAAAATAAAAAAAAAAATAAAAAAAAAAATACACACACATACACAACAACCTTAATCAGGATACAAAAATTCAGATGTGTATGTTGTGAGTAGGTGTTTTACGAGAGATCAAACCTAGAGCCTCATTAGCTGGACAAACACTCCACCACTAGGTCCGGGCCTGGCCCAGGCTGGTTTTCTTTAATTACATCTTTTTACTCCCTAGGAAATCATGAAAGCTAGTTACCATTTCATCTTCTTGACCCTTGTTGATAATCTTCCTTTCTTCTTTGTCCATCTCTACAGTGGCTTCAAAGGTGCTGTGCTTCACACAACAGGTGAGGATAGCTGCAGAAAGAAAAGAAACAACCGCTGGCCTGCTGTAAAACACATCCTGGCTGCCCACCAGAACTAGACGGTAAAACCCCACTGCCGATGACACCACACACTGAGAAATCAGGTTGGAAGTGGGCTAGGAATTGTCTCCCTGTGGATGGATAACTTTCCTAGTACCAGAAGGTGCTATGTAGACAAGTTACTACTGGAGAAAAGTCATCCACAGTCTTACCCAGATGTGGACTCTGTGCACTACAATACCAACCTGTCAGGAAAAACAGCCTCATGAGTACAAGAGGGTCATGACTGCTATGTACATAACCAACAACTTTCTGACTGGATCTGGGGCCCATTCCAAAGGAGGAAAATCATGCTTTGACCTTGTAACCTGTAAACCTGGACCAAAGCCTATTGCTGGGAAATCTCAGGCCCTGGGGAAACAAACCTATTATTCTTGTTTTGTCCAAACTACCTTTCAAATGTTTATGTCTATACCCATGGATTACTGCTGCTCTCAATCTTGGACAGTTAATAAAGAGACTCATAACTGGTAGGGTAAGTAACTGTTGAGAGCTCAGCCCTAAACATGACATCTATATCACTCCCTCCAAGGCTCAATCAAGGAGCATCATTGTAGCAGGCAGGGGCAAAAAGAACCAAAAGATGGGGAGAAACATTATGAAATGCTGTCCTCTGCACCTGACCTACAGAACAGCTGCACTCACGCACTCACTCACTCACTCACTCACTCACTCACTCACTCACGCACGCACGCACAGCAGCAAATATGGCCAGTCAACATTCCATCATGGATGGGGGGAGAAGGGGCTCACTCATAGGACCCCACCCTTTCCTGAGGAGCTATTGGCTGAGCGGAGGTCAATTTCCTCAGTGGAATAGCCACGAGTATGCCGCCCAATCAACCCTAATTAAACTCAGTGGGTAATACCCAAACCAAAACAGAACACGAAAGCAGGAGAGCTTGCTGGGAAAAAACAAAGCGTTCTGTGGAAGTGGGTGGGAGAAGACAGTGGCAGCAGGAGGATGGGATGTCAAAATATACTATACACGTGTGTAAAGCTGTCAAAGAATGATTATCTTTAAAAAGTTAATAATGCCAGCTATGGGAGCTCACAACTTTAATCCCCACCCAGCATTTGGATTAAGAAGATCTGGAGGCCGGGTGGTGGTGGCCCACACCTTTAATCCCAGCACTCGGGAGGTAGAGGCAGGTGGATCTTTGTTGAGTTCGAGGCCAGCCTGGGCTACAGAGCGAGATCCAGGAAAAGTGCAAAGCTACAGAAAAACCCTGTCATGAAAAACAAAAACAAATAAACAAACAAACAAACAAACAAGAGATCTGTGTGTTCAAGGCCAACCTGATTTACATAGTGAACTCCAGGCCAGTCAGAGTTACACAGTAAGACCTTGTCTCAACAACAAACTTGGTTTGGGTTTTGTTTTTGTTTTTTGAGACAGGGTTTCTCTGTTTAATAGTCCTCGCTGTCCTGGAACTCACTCTGCAGACCAGGCTGGCCTCGAACTCAGAGATCTGCCTGCCTCTGCCTCCCGAGTGCTGGGATTAAAGGCATGAGCCACCACTGCCTGGCCAAACTTTAAATTTCTTAACAAACTTTTGTAATTCAGAGTCAATTCAGCTCTGGAGTATTTTAGCTCATGGCAGCTATGAATAAGAGTACTCGAAAGCTGGAGAATGAAAAAACATTCTTTATTTTCTCTCAGAACTTAAACTGTTACCTATCAAAGCTACAGCAGGTATGGATTAATGAAGCATACTGAGTTTTATGGTCGTAAGTAGTGAGAGTCGAAAACTGGCATGTCGCTATGACTGCAGAACCAGCAAGTACTATTTCTGAGGTGCTGAAGAAGCCTGCCTAGGGCACTGTTTGTGGTAGTGTCTTCCCACTGAGCTGTATCTGCAGGCCCCAGAAGATTTCCAGTGAGTTCCCCCAACCAGGGGTCAAATTTATTTGGGAAGATGAAGCACCTGTACTGAACGTGTACCCCTTTTTCTTGTCATAAACAGCAAAGGAATCTACGTGGGTTAAGTGTGAACAGTCTACCACATTATATAAAGATTAAGTAGCTTAGACTTCAGTACCTGGCAGAGTCTCGGCATCAGTCCTCCACAAATACTAATGATCAGTTACATTTAAATTACCAGTTCTAACCTCTTCTTCACTGGTTGGCCTGGAACTCACTATACAGACCAGTCTGGCCTTGAATTAACTGAGATCCTCCTGAGTACTGGGATTAAAGGCATTTAATCTGCCACCATTGGGACAGGTCTAATTTATAATACAGTATCAATACATAAACCCAGCATAAACGAAAACTCTTTAACATCAACAATAATCATAAAAGCATACAGGAGAAGCTAAATCTAAAAAGTTTGAGTCACTGCTTTAAAACAAGGTAGAGAACTGGCGAGATGGCCTGGCCAACAAAAAAGCCTCATGACCTGAAATTTGACACTCTGAATCCACAGTGGAAAGATAATGGACTCCTGAGTACCATGGGAGTATGTACACACACACACACACACACACACACACACACACACACACACGTGTGTGTGTGTGTGTGTGTGTGTGCAAAAAAGGGGGGGCTTGTCTCTGCAGAACACAGCAAGTGGAACACTATCCCCTCCCTCAATGAGATTCCACACGTTCCTCTCACCAGTACACACCAGATCTGGAACACAGCAGACACTCAAAAAGCACCCGTCTGACTGGCACTGTTTGACAAGGATGTTGGTGCTAAGACAGCAATATTTTTACATGACAAATTAACTGGCCAAGTGAAAGTCAAATGAATTGTAAACTATTCCATACATAGAACCGACTAAAATCCATCAACCAAAACAAAAATATTAAACCCATTGTCACTGCAGAAATGGAGCAGCTTTAAAAGTATCAAGTCCAGCTTCTCCAAAACGAGTCCCACTACCATCCAAAACCCTTTGGACAACTTAGGAATAATGTCTTCTCCATCTACGGCAGTACTTGGGCATGAAAGCATACTCACTAGTCATTCCAATACCATAATAACAATCCATCAAATCAATGATCTGAAGTGGCAGTTCTTCTCAAGAACTAGCTATCTAGAACATGGAACAATTAAGCAAGCCCAACATCGTTCCCTGCGATAAAGATCAGTAGTGACTGCCTGCACTTGTAGGGTACAGTCTAATCCTGCTTGTGTCTTTAAAGGTTAATTAAAGAAGCCCTGTCCCTGACAGTCCCCACTAAATACTGGACTAAGCTGAGGTTCTTCCTTAGGCTTAGCACCATCCTCACTCAGGATTTATTGGAAATAATTTTTGATAACCAATTTTGGTCATTTCCCATCACCACCACCACCTTTACATGGAGAGAAACTACTTCCAGTCTTTAAATTTAAATTTTCAATTTATTATTATTGTGTTTGTGTGAGTACATGTGAGCAATTCCGGTGTGTGGAGGTCAGAGGACAACAACAGTCAGTTCTTGCCGTCTCCCGTGAGTGCCTGATATTGAACTCAGTCATCAGACTTGGGTACACACTTTGACCCACTGAGCCATCTCCCCAGCCCCTGCTCCCCGTTTCTATAACCTTCAGTTTCAAACAGCAATCAGATGTGCCCCCCTGTCTAAACAACCCCAGAAGAGACAAAAAGCGCACTGACTTCAAGGAAGACCGCCAGGCGATGAGGGCAACAGCAAGTGAGCACTGGGAAGCTGGAGGCTAACCCAGCAAGCTCTACACTTGCAGTTCCGGGTGACTGAAGCCAGAGCAGGAAAACCAACAGGATCCAGCAGTCCCTACGCTGCTAAGGCTGGGAGTCAAGAGGGACGTCCAAGTTATGTCACCAGAAGATATGTAAGAGCAATGCTGGGCATGGCGGCTGGCCCACCCATAAACCTAGAAGTGTAAAAGCGGAGACGGGGAGGATTACAGTTTCAGGTCAGCCTCAGCTACATGGAGTTCCAGGCCAGCGTAGGCTACAAGAGACCCTGTCTCAAAAGAAACAAACACGGAGGAAACAGAGGGAAAGGAAGAGATCTGAAAAGGGACCCACTATGCAGCCCAGCTGGACTGGAACCCATTATGAAGACGGCTGCCTGTGTGCTGGGATTCAAGTGTCCACCACCCAACCCTCCCCGCAGCCAGTCTTCAGCTGTGTACTTACTGATCAATACTTGCCAAGACACTGTCAGTGCTGCTATAATTTAAGAAGGGCAGGAAGGAGTCTCACCATGCAACAGGACCCACATGGGAGGTTTATCGAGGGGAGGGGAGAGAAGGGGCAGAAAAGGGAGCAGAGATGGTCCCTGGGGACAAGAGTGAAGGAAGAGAAAGAGACCGGAGGTGGGCAAGGCCCGCCTTTTACAAGGAAAGGAAACATAGCGAATGCACACAGGGGGTGCTCTGCGTGGCTGCAGCTGAGGTGTATCCTGCCAGGACCCTGAGGGCAGGTCAGTACAGATGCCTAAATGCTAACAAGTGCCAGAACTCCACCCCTCCAATACACACTCCTCCCTCTCTCCTCCCCCTCCCGCATCTCACTCCTTTTTTCATAGGTCTTGCTATGTAGAGATGCCTAGCCTCATACTCACTGTGTAATCCAAGCTAGCTCAAACTCATGGCAATCTTTTTAAGCTCAGCCTCAAGAGTACTGGGATTATATTAATGAACCAGCAGGTCCAGGTGGAATTGCCATTAAAATTCATTGGGTTCACATACTATTTAAATTTTTTTTCTCTAAATTTCTTTAACAAGGTTACCTTAGTCTAGCATGAAGTATATCCCCAAGATCTTGAGCAGTTAAAAAGCATATCAAGGAATATTCCAATTATTTTTGAGTTGTATGGTTAATTTATTGAGTAGGACAACCTACTAATATTTTCCCAAATGATCACTGACCATATTACAATGCAGCTCTTTATACAAAAATGACTTCTCGGCATGTTAACTGCTTTAAGACATAATTAATGCCCTACCAAACTTTA